TTTGATTTATAGGAACTCTTTATGTAGTCTAGATTGTAATAATTTGTTATACATATTCTCTACTAATCTCTTTGTTTTTCTAAGTTTTGTTTATTGGTGTCTTTTTTCTTACAGTTTACATGGTTTGTCATTTTGGGGTTTTATTTGTTTGTTTGTCTTGTATTGTTTTGGTACTGGGGAATGAACCAAGGGATCCTATATACCACTGAGCTACATCCCCAGCCCTTTTATTTATTTTAGGTCAGTATCTCACTAAATTGACCAGACGGGCCTTGAACTTAAAAATCCTTCTGCTTCAGCCTTCTAAATTGCTGGGATTAAATAGACACGTCAACATGCCTAGCTTGTTTCTTAATCTTGTTTAAGAAATTATTCTTTACTTCCAAGATCATAAAGTTTTTTTGTTGCTGTTTTTTGGGTTTTTTTGTTTTGTTTTGTTTATTTTTGTTGTTGTTGTTTTTGTTTTTTTTGTACCAGGGATTGAACCCAGGGGCACTTAACCACTGAGCCACATCCCCAGCCCTATTTTGTATTTTATTTAGAGACAGGGTCTCACTGAGTTGCTTAGCACCTTTCCATTGCTGAGGTTGGCTTCGAACTCCTGATCCTCCTGTCTCAGCTTCCCGAGCTGGATTATAGGCATGCGCCACTGCACCTGGCAAGATCATAAAGCTACATTTTCAACAAATATTTGTTTTCCTCTTCATATTTAGTTCTTTGAATGTATGTTTGGTTTTGCATATAGTATGTGGTAGGCTTTTAAGTCTCTTCTGCTAGTCTCTGTGTGTATCCTCACAATTTCTTGATTGGAAGAATTATAACAAATCTTGATGAATGGTGGGCAGAAGGGGTTGCATCCTATTGCATATGTTCAGTCCTATTAGAATTAAATTCCTATGAATTTGCCCATCAATTTGGAGATAATTTACATGAATAAGCTATATTACTCTATTTATTTAGATCATCTATAAAATCTTCCAAAAATAAGATACCTTCTACAGGTCTTACACATCTTTTGCTTTAGACTTTATTCCAAAAACACCTTTTAAAATTTTTTGTTGTGATTATAAGTAGTATCTTTTTAAAACTGCATGTTAAATTAGTTGCTAAGGTATATAAATATAATTTAACTTTGTATGTTAATCATAAATAGAGCAACATTTCTGAACTATCGGTAATTCTGTAATTTATCTGTAGACTTGTGTTTTTCTATATAGGCAGTCATATTATGAAGTATAATGGTTTTGTTTTTCCCTTTCCAAAACCTTTGTACCTTTTATTTCTCTTAATTTGCTTTACTGTGCTATCCAAGATTTTCTATTAAATGAAGTTGAGTTTACCATAAAGTTTTGGTAGATAAGTTTGATCAGATTAAGGGAAGTTCCCTTCTGGTCTTAGTATAGTAAGAATATTTGCTCCAGTGCTGGATTTTATCAAATGCTTTCTTAGGAACATTATCATCAACATTTTCTTTAATATGTTAATATGGTATAATGAATATATTTTTAAAAATCTAAACAGATTTTTAATTTTCAGTAAAAATTAACTAATGTGGGGAAGCAAAAGAAGGAATATAATGCATATATATGTAGCTTTATTAAATGTTAAAATTCAACCAAGCAGAACAGAAACAGACCTTTGTTTATTGAAATTCACTCCTAATTCAAAAGTGTATTCACTAATTTCAGTCCATCCTTTTATAAAGAGCAATTGCTGAGTCTTACCTGAAATTTATAATCCTCCTGCCTCTGTCTCCCAAATTGCTGGGATTACAGGTGTGAGCCACCGTGCCTGGCTCAGATACTCTGCAGGCTGAGGCAGGAGGATCATAAGTTTGAGGCCAGCTTCTGCAACTTAATGAGACCCAAAAAGGCTGAGGATGTAGCTCGGTGGTAGAGTGTCCCTAAGTTCAATCCTCAGTACCAAAAAAACAACAACAAAATACTGACATAAAAAGGTCTCTAAGACATATTATTGTTAACTTTTTAATGAAATAATGAGCTTAGAGAATTTATCATCTGATATCACCTAAAAATTGTATTTACATTTTTATCTTTATAAGTGTGTATCAAAAGGAGAAAATGTATACATATCTAATAAATTAGATTCTTACAGGAAGAAGGTTCAGTCTGGGGAGAGTCTTAACTATGTACATCTCTATATTGATTAAAGTTTTTATGATGAAACCATATATTTCTGTGGTAAAGAAAGGAAAAATAGCCAGGTGTGGTGGCACACACCTGTAATCCCAGTGGCTCTGGAGGCTGAGGCAGGAGGATTGCAAGTTCAAAGCCACCCTCAACAAAAGCAAGTTATTAAGCAACTCAGTGTGACCCTGTCTCTAAATAGAGTACAAAATAGGACTGAGAAATGTGGCTCAGTGGTCAAGTATTCCTGAGTTCAATACCCAGTACCAAAAAAAGAAGAAAAAGAAAAGGAAAAATAATATGTGCATACTATAAAAAAATAATATTTAAAGATAAAAATTTCTTGATAAAATTAAAAAAAAACCACAACCTCACCAACCTACAAATAGCCTGAGAAAATTACTGTTTTATAAATATGCTTCCAAGGGTAAGGGACATTTTAATCTTAAACTAGGGAGAGGAAGAAAAGAGCACTACATAAAAAGTACTCACTTATCTCAACAAACCATGGGGATGTTATTTTATTTTTTATTTTTTGGTTACAGATGAATACAATACCTTTATTTTATTTATTTTTATGTGGATTGAACCCAATGCCTCACACATGCTAGGTAAACGCTATACCACTGGGCCACACTGCAGCCCTGGGCATATTTGTTTGTTTGTTTGTTTGTTTTTTACAGTACTGGGGATTGAATCCAGGGCCTTGTGCATGCTAGGCAAGCGCTCTGCCATGGAGCTACATCCCCAGCTCTTTTGAGCATGTTTGTATTTGTTTTGTTTTATTTTGTTTTTGTTTTTGGAGACAGGATCCCACTAAGGTGCTAAAACTGGCCTCAAAATTGCAATCCTCCTGCCTCGGTCTCATGAATAGCTGGGATTACAGACATGCACTGCCACACCCAGCATGGGCATGTTTTTTTTAATGTGCGTGTGTGTGTGTGTGTTATAGTTGGACATAAAACCTTTATTTTTAAAAAATACATACATATATTTTAAAGTGTATTCACTGATTTCAGTCCATCCTTTTAAGTCCATCCTTTTAAGTATAATTTATATAAATAACTGTTTTTTTAGTTGTAGATGGACATAATATCTTTATTTATTTTTATGTGGTGCTGAGAATCAGACCACTGTCTCACATGTGCTAGGCAAGCACTCTACTGCTGAGCCACAACCCCAGCCCTATGAGCATGTTTTTTGAGTAATATGTATCATGGTAGCATGTAGCTTATTGTCTCTTTCAGTTTTACTTTTCATTGTATTCCTAGTGCCTTTATAGCATCATAAAAATCATCAGTATTTAAGAAATGAGTGATGGTGGTCTAACCATTGGTGAAGCTGTTCTAGTTTCAAAACCCAAGGTTAAGAAATCATGTTGGTTGAATGTTGTAATAATATCAGGCAGATACTCCTTTGTGTCTATAGCTTGAATTTAAGGCCACTGTCTTCTTTAATCATTATAAAATGGGAAATTCACTAGAATAAACAGTGTAGGATGGCATAGAAATTTTTTGTCTAAGAAATACCATGATAGAGCTGAGGTGGTGACTGAATGATAGAGTGCTTGCCTAGCATATGCAAAGCACTGGGTTTGATTCTCAGCACCACATAAAAAAGAAAAGAAAGAAAGAAAGCATGGTATGGTAGCACACACTTGTAATCAATTATAACTCAGGAGGTTGAGGCAGTAATAATATCACAAATTTAAGACCAGCCTGGGCAACTTAGCGAGTCTGTTTCAAAATTAAAAGGACTAAAGGTAATAACTCAGTGGCAGAGCACCCCTGGATTCACTCAGTACTACCAGAAAAAAAGAAAGAATAAACTACCTTGTTTATGCCAAAGAACATAAAGACCTTTGTTCAATACAGATTTTGCCTCAATATAGACTTTGTCTCATGCCTTACACACTTCTCTGTACATGAATTAAAGAATGGAATGATTCAGTGATCTATGATGAAATAATAGTTTATAAAAGCTATAGTATATGGCCTTTTTGTTCTCGTGCCATAGAGGTCAAACTGAAGCTGCTTATTTGCAGAAATTTTTATATGTAAAATAGTTTACCTTTTATTTCTATTAACTTGCTTTACTATGCTAGCCAGGACTTCCTATTAAGTGAAATTGAATTTACATAAATGACTTTGTTCAGATCCAGGAAGCTTTATATCTGGTAAAATTCACCAAAGAGATAAAAGGTGAATTTATTAGCATTTAGAACAACTTAACTATAAAATACATGGATATATCAACCTTTTATTGAAATGTTTTTATAATTAAAATCTATGTAACATCAGTAAAAATAATGATCAGTTATAAACTATTATGTGTATGTATATATAAAGTTTACACTTAGTTCAACCAACAGCATGTTTGTTTGTTTGTTTTGTACTAGGTATTGAACTCAGGGGCACTTGGCCACTGAGCCACATCCACAGCCCTGTTTTGTATTTTATTTAGAGACAGGTTCTCACTGAGTTGCTTAGCACCTCACTTTTGCTGAGACTGGCTTTGAACTCACTATGGATCCTCCTCCTGCCTTAGCCTCCTGAGACAGTGGGATTACAGACGTGAACCACTATGCCCAGCTAACATCATGTTTTTTGAATAGGAAATAATGTGATAATATGTAGCTCATATGTTTCATCATATCTCTAGTGCCTTTATAGCATGTAATAACTGTATATCTACATATTTATATACACATTCATATACACACAAATATATGTGCAAAAGTGATCATTTTTAACTCTGCAGATAGTTAATTAGCCTAGAGCTAAGGTAAAGTTTCTGAATTTTTTAGGGAAACATTAATTTGTACTATTTGTGTTTTTTTTTTTTTTCCCTTAGTTTCTGCCACTGCCTTCTACAAAGCACAACCTGTAATTCAGTTCATGTGTGAAGTTCTTGATATTCACAATATTGATGAACAACCAAGACCTCTGACTGATTCTCACCGGGTAAAATTCACCAAAGAGATAAAAGGTGAATTCATTAGCATTTAGAACAACTTGACTATAAAATGTATGGTTATGCCAGCCTTTATTGAAATGTTTTTTTATAATTAAAATCTATTTACATAACAGCAGTAAAAATATACATAAATTATACAATGTTGAATTAAGTTTACCTTAGGTAGTGTTTGAATGAAAAATATTCCAAGTAATGCAACTAGTATAGATACCAGCTAATTTGTTAATACTTAGCCTTACTATCTGAAAGGGATAATACTGTCTCATGAGAAAGTGCTTCCATAATATTGCTAAAATCATTATTTGAACATATTCTAATATATTGACTTCCTTATTTTTTTAATAATTTTAATTTCATTCCTTTGAAAATTTATGAATAAGGGGCTAGCCTATTTCATGTGTTGTTCTACAGTTGTAACTTAGCTATTTAATGTACATTACAGAGCTAACTGTTGCTTGCTTATTTTACTGAGTAGCTAAAATTTATACAGTGGCGTTATATTGTATATACATTTAACTTACATAAATTTAACTCTATTTGATCTCACAAGAAGAAAAAAAATATATAACTTTAATGATAATCTAAGATTTATATATAAATCTTAGATTATCATTAAAGTTATATATTTGCTCTTCATATGTGTACCGTTCTAAATATGCTTAGATATGTGTATACATTTTGTGTTCAAACCCATATATGCTGTACTTTATCAGAAATTTAAGGGGTTTTTAAGAATAATTTTGATTATGTACAATTCTTGCCTTGCTCATAACTTTAGAACCAAATCCTTATGTAAGATATGACTCCACTGTATTTAGTTTATTATTTAGACATGAAGAAAAATTATTTTATAATCAGAATGAGTAGCATAAATTCTATTTATATTAAATGTGCATCTTAAATAGCCAGAAATAATGATATTGTTTTTAAGATTGTACCTATTTGTTGCAGATAATTTTCAGCTTGTGGTTTGAATGAAGCATTCAAGTTTATTCACTGAACGTCTTTCAGTTCCCCAAATCAATTAGAGTAGCTGAATACATCCTGCTTGCTCCAGTAATCATTCATTCTTTGCCATTCAGTAACCAGGAAAAAGATAGTCATTGCAATAAAACATTAAAAGGAAAATTCTTCCTGCTTTGAAAATAAGCATCCATTTTTCTCAAATTATTTAAGTGCTGAAATAAGAAACTGTTAAATATAACTGTTTTGTAACCATACCATTGTCCTTTCATAATCTGTATTAACTGCAGTTAGCCTTGTCAGGAGGTTAGTGTATTACCTGCCATTATATATGTGATCATCTAAATGCCATGGTTTCCAGTGGAGTTGCTGCTTAGTTACCACCTCTGATATCATGAAGTCACTTACATTATTTTGCGGTAACTATGCAATCAACTCATATCACCACTCTATCACAGAAAATACAAGATCTGTACAGAACAAGGATTCAACTGCTGCCCGGAGAGCATGGACTCGATCTTAACTTCAACTGCTCAGGGGCCCAAAGAAATGACTGAAAAAATGACTAGAAAGCATTATAAAGTTGATGTTATAGTGAAGGTAAAGCCAAGTTTATAGGTTAAATATTTATTAAAGCCAAAAGAATTTTTTTTGTTGGATGGAGGGTTTGGGGGGGGCCTGGGCAGAGAATTATCTAGTCCATTTTTTTTAAATTGCACCTTTTTGCTAGCCCTCTGGATTTTGTTCTAATTCTTAGGTACCTATGATCCTAGATCTGGGGTAAAAACAGTCTGGGCTGAATCTGATTGACAAACCAATGATTTTTTTTTCTCCAAAATGAAGAAGGCTTTTTTTTTTAATAAGGCTCTTTTAAGTATATGACGTATTGTTACCCTACTAAGTCAAGAGTCAAGAGTTTTATGTTCTCTGCTATTTGGATTTAATTTTTAGTTGGCATGAGGATTTGATGGTAGCTGTTAAATATTGATACAAACTGTACTATAATGAATATTTTTAGCATATTCATTTTATTCCTGTTGAATTTCTCCCCAAATGTTTGATAATAACTTAGGGGTTTTTTTTGTTTGTTTGTTTGTTTGGTTTTTGCCCAATAATTCATAGTAAACAGTAGAAATATTGAGAAAAATGTATGGTAAAACTGCCATATGTATTTGAAAGTACCATTTTACTTTTGGTAAAAGCTTTTATGGTAGGTATGTAGAATGTTATTAATATTTTTTTTAATTCAGGGGAAAGACAAAAACAAATTGCTATGCAGTGAAAATAACTGAAATTTGTTTTAAACTTTTCTGGTGTTTTTCCCCTAAATATATTGTTATATCTTGCTTAGTCTGTTGTATTGATATTTCCTTCTCATAAGGCTTTCCCTTGTATTTTGTAGTCTCCTTTATAACATAATGCCTAGGAAATTCTGTAACTGATCAGAACTTTTAGTTCTGTAAAGGTAGCTATAATGAAAAAGTACTTCTCACAGATACATTTAGGAGTATTTTTCAAGAAAAATCCATACCAATCTGGTACAGGAACACTGTGTCCATTTAACATATTAATTTGTGTTCCTGTCAGAAGAAAATATTACTTAATATGAGTGAACTTTATATTTGGTGCTATAGTTAGTAAGAAAATAAATTATATTGTAGCAGGGTTTCTCAAACTTGTCTCTATTGACATTGTGGGCTGGATAATTCTTTTTTGGGATGGGAGGTGGTGTTCTGTACATTGTAAGATATTTAGGAGTATCCCAAATATCAAACTACTCACTAGTTGCCAATAGCACTTCCAGTTTATACTAGTCAAAAATGTCTCCTTTAGCTGGGCATGGTAGCATATACCTGTAATCAGGAGGCTGAGGCAGGAGGATCAAAGTCAGACTCAGCAACTTGGCAAAGGACCTAAAAACGTTAGTGAGACCCTGGCTCAAAATAAAAGATAAGAAGGGCTGGGATGTAGCTCAGTGGTAAGTACCCCTGGGTTAAATCCCAAAATATCCCCCCTAAATTTTTTTTACGTCTCCCTAGGGAATGGATGTGACTCAGTAGTAGAATGCTTGCCAAGTTGCATCTTTTGGTCCCCATCGCACCCTGCCCCCCCAAAAAAAGTCTCCAGACATTGCCAAATGTTCTTTGGGGATGGGGGGCAAAATCGCCTTCAGTTAAGAACCACTGCACTATAGGAACTACAAATATAAAAGAGAAATAATACAAAAAGGAATAACCAAGAATTCTGTCTGGAATCTAAAAATTGTCCTCCATCTACCCCTTTTTAGATTTTGTCCCTGGAATCTAAGCCAAACTTTAGAAATGGAGTTGCTTATCTGTAACCAATGGCCACTACATGTCTTGTTTGTTAACTTTCCTCTTGATGGCTCCAGAACTTGACTGGCCAATATGGTAGCCACTAGTGAGGTATATCTATTTAAATTTAAATTAATTATAATTAAATAAAATTAAAATTGCAGTTTTTCAGGCAACACAAGCCACATTTTATGTGGTTAGTAACACGTTACTAATGATTACCATATTAAGCACAGATGTAAAATATTGCATCATCTCAGAAAATTCTAATTGACAGCACTAGTTAAGAACATTCATCTCAAAGAAACAAAGACTTATAGACAGATGCAAAAAATAAATCTTCTTTTGAGACTCAGAACTCGTTGTTCAGTATGAGTTTTGATAGATGCAGGAAGAAATATTAAGATACGTAAAAAATAAAATTTGGGGCTGCGGTTGTAGCTCAGTGGTAGAGCTCTTGCCTAGCATGCGTGAGGCACTGGATTCAATCCTCAGCACTACATAAAAATAAATAAATAAAATAAAGATATTGTGTTCATCTACAACTAAAAAAAATTTTTTTAAATTCACCGCAAAGACTTTCAGCTGATGAGTTTAAAGCCCATTTCTTTACTTTCTAGAGTTGGCCTTGGATCCTTGAATACCCCCCAACCCCCACCCAGTTGTAGGTAGACTGCAGGGATCCAGGAATGCCTAAAATCATTGCTAAATTTTGTGTATGTACATTTTTCTGAAAGTTTATTGCTTTCATCAGATACTCTAAGGGGTCATTGATTCTATAAGAAGGTAGGAATCACCTGGTTTCAGAATTATTTTTGTTGCATTTGATTGCTACTAGTCAAATATGGTAAAAGTACTGTGTCACTATATTATACTTCAATAAAATGATCATTACATTTCTTTTTAAAGGGCCTGGCATTTTTTCTTTCTTGCTTTATACATCTTTAAAGGGCTTCTTTCTTGAGCTTTAGGAAATCTGATCTTCAATCAGTATGTTAAGATTGGGCAATTTAAATATCACATACTTTGAAGGTTATAAACTATCTTGAGAATTACTGCACCTCCTCTTTCATTCCTCCTTCTCTTTCCTAGCATAATTATCCGAATTTATTATAAATGGGGCTTTTATTAATGGAGAACTTTGTCCCTTGATCTTTGGGCTTTGAAATTTTTATGATTCTATTTATTATGAGTGGAGCTTGATAGGGTAGAGAAAAGGTTTGAAATTAGGTCTACCATGGTAGTATCCATTATTAGCAATGTTATATATAAAATTATGTTAATATCACATTGTATATATATCACAGATTTTGTTTGCTCAGAATTAAGTTTTTATAGTAGTGAACAGGCTTTATAAATGTAAATATTTTACAGTGACAATTCTGTAACCTGCATTTTTCTTGTTGGGAACAGGTCTGAAGGTTGAAGTGACTCATTGTGGAACAATGAGACGGAAATACCGTGTTTGTAATGTAACAAGAAGGCCTGCCAGTCATCAAACGTAAGAAAAGCAGTGGTGATACGAGGCAGCTCACTCTAGGTAGTAGGTTGGAAGTTTTGCTGGCTTGTAGTGGGATAAGAGTCTCATATCTCCTTTTTTTCCCTCCCCTCCCCACCAGCTTTCCCTTACAGCTAGAAAATGGCCAAACTGTGGAGAGAACAGTAGCTCAGTATTTCAGAGAAAAGTACACTCTTCAGTTGAAGTACCCACACCTTCCCTGTCTGCAAGTGGGGCAGGAGCAGAAACATACCTACCTGCCGCTGGAAGTAATGTTTCTTTGCTGCTCATGAATATCTTCCTCTTCATCATTCTTTTGGGGTCTTTTATGTCCTGTAACTTACCTCATATTCTGCTATCTATTTTGGAACTTAAACTCTTCTTAAATTTTATTTTAGGTTTTTATTAAATGAAAGAATATAGAAAAGGGAACTATAATTCTACCACTCTAGTCTAACCAATACTTCTTTCAATCTTTTTATCCTGTGTACATTTTACCAAATTATAATAATATTGTAAAGTAGTTTTGTTTGCTACTTTTTTATTTAACATGATATTAAAAATAAGCAATTTAATTATGAAGATTTAAAATTTTTATTTTACATGTAATTGGCACTGAGAACTAACAAAAAGATATTTATACATCTATCTAATATAATACTTTTTTCTATTTGTAGGTCTGTAATATTGTGGCAGGACAACGATGTATTAAGAAACTAACAGACAATCAGACTTCAACTATGATCAAGGCAACAGCAAGATCTGCACCAGATAGACAAGAGGAAATTAGCAGATTGGTTAGTTCTTAACCCTAGAAAATGGGAATTTAAAACATGTTAGGATTAGCTTCTAAAAAAGCATACTCTTACCAGCCCATATCTTATTGCCATCAGAATTAAAAGGTATCATGAAATAACCTAGGAGTATGTTTTGGGTGGTGGTAAACTTTAGTAGGTCCTTCTTATTTAACCCTAGACTCTTTAACTAGATGCAGGAAACAAGTTCTGCCAAAACTAATATTTTAATTTAATGAACTGGAAACCACCTAAAAGAGTGGGGGAAAGAAATACTTAACACTCATTCTAGGATTGTTTCACTTCCAGTATCAGACTGGCAACTATACAGTCTAATAAAAGCTTCAAGCATGTGATATCTCCACATGTCTCATTGTGGAGGAGGAGAGAGGAGTTACCACTACCATTTGATAAAACTGATGGTACCACAATGTATGTGTGTATGTGTTTGTGTGTATCAAGCTATCATTTTATACACAATAAAAACATGACCTGTTAGGGGCTGGGGTTGTTCTTGTTGGGAACAGGTCTGAAGGTAGAGTGCTCGCCTTAGCACATGTGAGTCACTGGGTTCAACACTCACTCAGCACCACATAAAAGTAAATAAATAAAATAAAGGTATATTAAAAAATGCCCTATTATCTGTCCTTATTTGCAGGAGGGGATAGCTGGGGTTGAACCCAGGATCTTCCACATGCTAGGCACAAGCTCTGCCACTGAACTACATCCTCAGCCCTCTTCCAGGCTTTTTTATTTTATTCACTAAGTTGCCCAGGCTTGCTTCAAACTTAAAAGTCCTCCTGCTCAAGTCTCCTAAGTAGCTGAAATTATAGGTATGCATGACAATGCCCAGTTTATCTGTGTGTGTGTGTCCAGTTGTTAGGCCTTGGGATTGAACACAGGGCCTCACACATGCTAGGCAAGTACTTTACCACTAAGCTACATCCCTGGCCCTATCTATTTTTTTAAAAAAATAAATAAAGCTAATAGAATAGGCAAAATTTAAAATAAAAGGCCAGCTGGACCTTAACTCGCTCTACCCTTAAGTACCATTTAAACTGTTTAGGCAAAGAAAAAAATCTGGAAATACGAATATTCCTCAGAACAACTCAGTAACATTTTCAAAAACAATGTTAAAGATTATTAGAAAAGTGATTCAGAACTGGCTCTTTTATTTTGTAAGCCAATTTAAAAAAAGACCATTTTTTTCCTTATAATTTTGTAAAGAGTGCATAAAAGTTATTATGTGACATTTAATTAGGAAAATGCATGCTGGTTCTCATCCTAGAATTTTCTCTAATTCTATAATAAGATTTTAAAAGCTTTCTTAAAACCATTAAGAGACATTTCTATAAAGTCTCAATAACTAGCAATTCTAAATTATTTATTACAGCTTAACTGTTCAGAAAGACAATATTGTGTAGTGCTTAACAGAACAGACTTTGGCTAGGCACGGTGGCACATGCCTGTAATCCCAGCACCTTGGGAGGCTGAGGCAGGAGGATCACAAGTCCAAAGCCAGCCTCAGCAAAAGTGAGGCTCTAAGCAACTCAGTGAGACCCTGTCTCTAAATAAAATACAAATAGAGCTGGGGATGTGGCTCAGTGCCGAATACCTCTGAGATTAATCCCCAGTATCCAAAAAGAAAAAAAGAGAGAGAAAACTTTGGAGCCTAACAGCCATGTGTTTGAAGTTTTGCTTTTTCCACTTACTTAAATTTTTATTTTACTTACTATTATATTATGATTTTATCATCTAGTCGTTTAACTTTACTCACTTATTTAACTTTACTAAGCTATAGTTTTAATCCTCTGTAAAATACAGATTATAAAAGACCTACTTTAAAGCCATAAGATAATTGTGAAAATTAATTATTAAGAACTTAGCTATCGGGCTGGGGATGTGGCTCAAGCGGTAGTGCGCTCGCCTGGCACGCATATGACCCGGGTTCAATCCTCAGCACCACATACAAACAAAGATGTTGTGTCCACCGAAAACTAAAAAATAAATATTAAAAAATTCTCTCCCTCTAAAAAACAAAAAAAAAGAACTTAGCTATAAACAAGTTATAGTAAGTCTTGGTAAATAGTAGTTGTTATTTTTTATGACCTCACTGTGGAGATAAACCAACACACAACAGAAATAAATGGCAGTTAGGTTTGAAGAAAAAGATACATTATTGACTATTTTAGAAAATTACTTTTCCTTCTTTTTTAAAATATTTTTATACCTTTATTTTAGTTATTTTATTATTATTTTTTTAGGTTTTAGGTGTACACAATATCTTTATTTTTTATTTTTATGTGGTGCTGTGGATTGAACCCAGTGCCTCATGCATGCTAGGTGTGCACTCTACTACATCCCCAGCCACATCCCCAGCCCTAGTTATTTTATTTTTATGTGGTGCGGAGGATTGAACCCAGCGCCTTGCATGTGCTAGGTGAGCGCTCTACTGCTGAGCCACAACCCCAGCCTGCTTTTCCTTCTTATTATATGGAAATTCTGTTCACATGTTTAGATTATATAGTTCTTTAATAGATTTCTACTTGAAGTTGAACACCATCTTTTTTTTGTAACTTTGACCTTCACTCTGAGAACAAGTGAATATGTTTTGAAAAACACCTAATATAGTATGCTGTAAGCATGAATTATGGTGAAATCTAATACTGAATTCTCTCTTTGTATATAAAGATATATTGTGAAAAATTTATAACCTATAATTCATTCTGGCTTTCTTACCTATCTCCAATGTACTCCATTAAATAAACTTTATGATATAGTACTGTTTATCTGAAAATTCTGAAGTAAACTTATATAAATCATAAAGTAGTTTTTAAAAGTCTTAAAATTTTAAATATTTCTTTCAAACTTTATAGGAAATAAATTTTAGTAATATGTGTCTGGGTTCTCTGTAATCAGAGGATCTTAACTAAAGGTGAAGTATTTCTCCCTCTCAAAACATATTAGGTTCAATCATTAAAAATTTTTATGGATCAGGGGCTAGGGTTGTGGCTCAGTGGTGGAGTGCTCACCTAGCATGCACGAGGCACTGGGTTCGATCCTCAGCACCACATAAATGTAAAATAAAGATATTGTGTCTACCTAAAACTTAAGAATAAATATTTTTTTTTAATTTCATGGATCAATAATAGTTAAAATCTTATTATTCAATCTAATATATACATTTAAATTTTGTATGAATTACCAAGGACTTCACAGACTTCCTACAATCCATTCATGACCATAATCCCCAAGCTAAGATTCTCCATTCTCCAGTTAGGGCACCATTGATGAGACCTATTGCAAAACATAGATGACAAAGAGAAAGAAAAAGAAGAAAAAAAAAGGGCTTTAATGAGTAAAATACAGGATCTAGGGGAATTTTGAGAGTAACTACAAACTTTTCCTGTTGTTAGGTAAGAAGTGCAAATTATGAAACAGATCCATTTGTTCAGGAGTTTCAATTTAAAGTTCGAGATGAAATGGCCCATGTAACCGGACGTGTACTTCCAGCACCTATGCTCCAGTATGGAGGACGGGTAAAGCCTCTTGGTTTTTTAATGAAATATAGGTACTTTGTAAGAATGGAGAGAAGGGTATCATAGCTAAGTCTGGAATTTTAGAAAGTTTTTCGTTATTCCAACAATATATTTTTTTAAATTTCAAAGTAAATGTCCTTGCTTGAATTTAGTGGAATTTGGGGGGTTTTTTAATATTAAAATTATAAACAATATTGATTTAAAATAGCCAGTTTCTTATAAAATATCAGATTTATATTAATTCAGCAATTTGAAATACTTATTTTTGACTCATCAGAATACACCATAAAGTTTTTGTTCTTTTTTGCCAAGTTATTTCTCTTTCTCCTATAGAATCGGACAGTGGCAACACCAAGCCACGGAGTATGGGATATGCGAGGAAAACAGTTCCACACAGGAGTTGAAATCAAAATGTGGGCTATAGCTTGTTTTGCCACACAGAGGCAGTGCAGAGAAGAAATTTTAAAGTAAGGAATGTCATTACTTTGGTTTCAGGGCCTATTTGTATTTAGATTTTAAATTACTCGTGTCTTGTTCTAACAAATGTTCCTTCAACATGGACTTTTTTTCATTCTTCTTTGGTGGTAGTGAAGATTGAACCCAAGGCTTCACACATATCACTGAACTTTTTTAAATGTTTCTTCTTGATACTTTGAAGATTCCTAAATGTGTTAGTCTTAGTAAGTCTTTGATTCATGCTTGTGGACATCCTAAAAGACTAGATTATATGGTATAGTAGCAGCATCATTGTCTTTTAATGGCAGATAGAATAGGTTCAGTTCCCAGCTTTGCCACTTTATTACCATGAATAATTTATTTAATCTGTCTCTGGAGGATTGCAAGTTCAAATCCAGCCTCAGCAACTTAGTGAGGCCCTGAGCAACTCAGTGACACCCTGTCTCAAAATTTGGAAAATAATAATAAAATGGGCTGGGGATGTGGTTCATTTGTTAAGTGCCCCTGGGTTCATTCCCTGTCACCAAAAACTAACCAACAAAACAAATGAGGTTCATTGCTCCTCCCATCATTACTCATTTATGTTAAATACAGAATTTTCTTTAAATATGATATTGTCGGGGCTGGGGATGTGGCTCAAGCGGTAGCACGCTTGCCTGGCATGCGTGCAGTCCGGGTTCGATCCTCAGCACCACATACAAACAAAGATGTTGTGTCCGCCGATAACTAAAAAATAAAATATTAAAATTCTCTCTCTCTCTCTCTCTTTAAAAAAAATATTAAAAGTTCTCTCTCTCTCTCTCTCTCGCTCTCTCTCTCTCTCTCTCTCTCTTTAAAAAAAAAAAAAGAAAGAAAGACCAAGGTATCTTCTCAAGGAATCAGGATTTTCCTTTAAAATAAATAAATAAATAAATAAGATATTGTCCTTTTTTATGTAGGTGAAAATACATTAAAATGCCTTCTTTGTTTGTTTTTAAATTTCCTTCTCATGTTTTTCATCTCCTCTCAGGGCAAAAATCTTTCCTGCTCTCTTGGTCTGATAGGTCATACTGTGGAAGTTCTGGACTATATTGTAATTATGGTTCTACTATTTAGCTAACATTTAACCTTTGCCGAACACTTATTTCCCTGAAACTGTTTTCTAATCTATGAAATAAAAATAATACCTGACCTGCCTCTCTCAATGGATCTTGTCAAGATCACATTAGAAAACATGTATTAGCTGAAATTTTCAAACTTTTACCAATGGTCTTGGGTAATGTGCTAAGTATTTTACATGTATTATCTCAATTAGTCTTCTTGCCAATCCTATAATGTAAGTAATTGTTTTACAAATAAAGGGGTAAATGTGTCTGAAATTTCATAACTAGTAAGTAGCAGAACTACAATTGAAATTCTCGATGCTGACTCTAGAGCTGAGCTCTTAACCAGTACACTCTGTTCCTAATGCCCCTTGTAAACTACTAAATACCATATAATGGTATAGTATGCTTTTAGTTTATAAAATACAAGAGTCCCCATTTACGCATTGTTTCACTTTCTATGGTTTCAGTTTCCTACCATCAAATGTAGTCCAAATATATTAGATAGAAAATTTCAGAAATTAGTAGTTCAGCACATAAGTTTTAAAGATATACTTTTTTTCTGAGTAGTATAATAAAATCTTGCACTGTTCTGCACCTTTCTGTCATACCTCACCTGGGATATGAAACATCCCTTTGTCCAATGAACCCTGCTGTACATGGTTAGTTACTTAGTAGCCATCTAGGTTATCAGATTGACTGCTCTGGTACTGTAGTTCTTGTGTTTAGGTAACCATATTTTATGCTATAGTATTTAAAATCATGTATTATCTTGAACTCATTAGGGATTGGATTCAAGGACTCTACCAATGAACTACGTCCCCAGCTCTGTTTATTTTTATTTTGCGACAGGATCTCACTAAGTTACCAAAACTGGCCTTCAACTTGTGATTCCCCCTGCCTTAGCCTCCTGAGTGGCTGTGATTAGAGACATGTGCCACTGTGCCCACCAAATAACCTTGTTTTTCATAATAATGCCCCCAAAGTGTAAGAATACTGATGCCGGCAATTTGGATATGCCAAAGAAAAGCTATAGCCAGGTGTAGTGGCACATGCCTATAATTTCAGCAACTCAGGAGGCTAAGGCAGGAGGATCAAAAGTTTGAGGCCAGCCTCAGCAATTTAGCAAGACCCTATCTCAAAGTAAAAAATAAAATGTGGTATTGATGTAGCTCAGAAGTAAAGTGCCCCTGGGTTCTATCCCCAGTACAAAAAAAAAAAAAAAAACTAAGTGATCCCTTTAAGTGAAAAAGTGAAATTTATCAATAAGGAGAGAAAAAAATCATATGCAGTAAAATTTTTTTTTCATAAATGTTAAGAAAGAAAAAAACTGCAGAAATTACATCCTCAGTGCATAAGTGCTTAGTTAAGATAAAAAGGCATTAAATTATAAGGTCTGTACTATCCATAGATTCATATATTCACTGGAGGCCTTGGAACATATTCCCTGAGAATAGAGGAAGATTTCTATACATTATTGACCTGATGTTGCCCTTAACATCAGTAATCCGATGATTATGTGTATATGGAACACACAAATCTTCACTTCATCCTCCATTCATTTTCTATACTTTTCATTACTATTTCGTAGGTATTAATGACTAGACAAGTTTTATATTTAATGGTTTCTTCTTCCAGGGGTTTCACAGACCAACTGCGTAAGATTTCCAAGGATGCAGGGATGCCCATCCAGGGCCAGCCATGCTTCTGCAAATACGCACAGGGCGCAGACAGCGTAGAGCCCATGTTCCGGCACCTCAAGAATACATACTCTGGGTTACAGCTCATTATTGTCATCCTGCCAGGAAAGACACCAGTGTATGGTAAGGATATATTAAAACTGCATTATCAGGTGGTAGAGTGTTACCTGGCATGCATAAGATCCTGGATTTGACCCAAAGTACCATAAAAGAAAAAAATCTGCATTTTTCTTCAGGTACTTGATATTCATTTTAGGCTTATGTATCCTGTAGCTTTCAAATACTAAAACATATTTTATGGTACAGTAAGTCGTGCATGTTACTTTTAAATCAGTAAACTAAATTGTTCAAGAAGAGACCTGAGAAAATAATTTTGTAGCTAAGCAGGACATGGTGACACACACCTATAGGCCCAGCTGCTTGGGAGGTTGAGGCAAGAGGATCACTTGAACTCATGAATTCAAGACCAGACTGATCAACATACCAAGAACCTGTCTTAGAGGAAGATAGAAAGGGAGGGAGGGAATAAGGAAGCAAGGAAGGAAAAAAGGAAGAATAGTATATGTTCTCATACAGTTTTTTTCTCTCAGTACTGAGGATTGAACCCAGGGGCACTTTGCCACTAAGCTACATTCCCAGTCCTTTTTATTTTTAATTTTGAGACTGGTCTTGATAAATTGCCCAGACTGACCTCAAACTTGCAGTCCTTCTGCCTCCGCCTCCCAAGTCACTGGGATTACAGGTGTGTATCACCATACAGGATTTCTCATACACTATGACTGGGAAGCAAAGTATTTCCATAGCTCCTAATTTGTCTTCTTGCCTGTGGGGGTGGTTTACAAGCTAAGCAGGACATAGTGACAACACCTGTAGGCCCAGCTGCTTGGGAGGTTGAGGCAAAAGGATCACTTGAACTCATGAATTCAAGACCAGACTGATCAACATACCAAGAACCTGTCTTAGAGGAAGAGAACAGATTCCTGCTTGGTAGAATAGATTCCTGCTTGGTGGTGTGAGCCTCCTGAGAAGATAAAAAGTCTGAAATATTCAGTAAGGAACAAAACACAAAGTCAGAAATTAGATTTAAAAGGGCAGTGTCTGATGGGTCTTCCAGCCCTGATAGGAACTGGAACTGAACAACTGAAAAAGACCCCAATCCTTTATTTAAGGGGAAATAGATCAAAGGTGGCAGGGATCTTGAAGTAAACAGGTTGTTTGGTGCTTGAAAGGTTACACCCATCTCTCAGTGGCTACGTTTGATCCTAGGGTTGTGAGCTAAAGCAGGGTACCAGCGTGATCTGGGCTTTCTTTCCTAGAAAAGCAGCTTCCCTGCCTTAATGGCTCAAATAATATCCATAATTTATACACAGCTTCCAACACTTGCTTACATTCCATGTAGTCTCTTCCTGAGCAGATAATATAGAGAATTCCTATATACCACCCTGTTCCCTGCAGTTTTTCCTACACAGATATTATTAACTTCTTCCCTTAAAGGGAACATTAAATAAACCAACAGTTTTACATTATGATTCACTTTTTGTATTGTATAATTCTTTGGGTTCTGACAAATGCATTATAATCACAGTATCATACAAAATAGAGTCACTGTGCTAAAAATCCTGTTCATCCTGCCTCTGCCCTGAATTCCTGAAGCTGCTGATCTTTTTGTATCTCTACAGTTTTATTTTTTCTATAATATGATGCAGTTGAAGTATGGAGCCTTTTCAGATTTGTTTCTTTCACTTAGCAGTATGCATTTAGGTTTCCTCCATCTCTTAGGACTTGATAGCTCATTCTTTTGTTGAATTAATACTTCTTTTTTTTTTTTTAATTTTTAGTGTTTATTTTTTAGTTTTCGGCGGACACAACATCTTTGTTTGTATGTGGTGCTGAGGATCGAACCCGGGCCGCACGCATGCCAGGTGAGCGCGCTACCGCTTGAGCCACATCCCCAGCCCCGAATTAATACTTCTTTATGGGGGCTGGGGTTGTGGCTCAGTGGTAGAATGCTTGCCTCGTATGTGTGAGGCAGTGGGTTTGATTCTTAGCACTGCAAATAAAGAAATGAATAAAATAAAAAGTCCACCAACAACTAAAAAAATAATTTTAAAAAAAAGTCTTTAGGGCTGAGGCTGTGGCTCAGTGGTAGAGTGCTTGCCTAGCATGTGTGAGGCACTGGGTTCGATTCTCAGCACCACATATAAGTAAATGAATAAAATAAAGGTCTAAACATCTAAAAAAATATTTTTTTAAAAAAGTCTTTATATGGATGTACCACTGTTTATCCACTCACCTATTGAAAGACATCTTGATTGATTCCTGATCAATAAAAGATAAAGAAAAGAAAGTATAAACAGAATGGAAATGTCCATAAAACAAAAGTTGGATAACAACCACTTGGTATGCATCTCATGCCTCTGAGTACAGTGTAATTAGTCTGATTGTTTAGGTATTTTTGTCATTCAATCAAAAGGTAGAGATGAGGGCTGGAGTTGTAACTCAGTGATAGAGCACTTGCCTGTCAAGTGTGAGGCACTGGGTTCAATCCTAGCCCACATAAAAACAAATAAAGGCATTGAACCCATGTACAACTAAAAAAAAATTAAAAAAAAAAAAAGGTGGAGGTGACCAAAATTCATACTCTAAGCAGCAGCTGGAATTGTTTGTAAGTCCTATTTTCTATGTGGTCTCCCAATCCATTTTGAGATGCTTTTTTAATGTTGCTTTCATTGTAATTTTCCTTTTATTTTCAGACCCTCACAGGGACTCTGTATATCGTCTTCTTTCTACTGTGTTATTTTTCATACCTCACTTTCCAACCTTTACCAAGAAAATGAATGTACATTCTTCCTGTTTTGTTGTTGTTGTTGTTGTTGTAAATGAACACAATACCTTTATTTTGTTTAGCTTTTTTTTCCTATGTGGTGCTGGGGATTGAAGCCAGTGCCTCATGCATGCTAGTCAAGCACTCTACCACTAAACAACACCCCAACCCCACATTCTTCCTTCAAATTTCAGTTTAGAAGTTTCTTCTGAGGGGAGAATTTGCCTGACCTTCACAAATCAAATTCTTTCTCTTTTATCGTCAGCACCTTGTACCTCTCCTTAATATTATTTTCACAATTGTATTGTTAAATTTGAGCAGTTATTTAATTAAAAGCGTGTTTATATAACTAGACTATGAATTCTTTGGGGGCAGGAACAATGTCTGCATTGATTCATATACAGATCTTTGTACAGTACCAGTATTAGGTGCTCATTAAAAATTTGTTGGATGAATAATATTGTTTGGAAGGTAATTTGCTCCTATTATAAAAATGTTTTATAAAAATAACAAACACATATACATATATGTGTGTAGGAAGATAATAGAAATTTATCCTGAAGAAAATTATTTATTTGTTTGTTTATTTATTTGTACTGAGGATTGAACCCAGGGGTGCTTAACCACTGAGCCACATCCTCAGCCTTTTTTTATATTGTATTTAGAGACAGGGTCTTGCTGAGTTGCTAAGGGCCTTGCTAAGTTTCTGAGGCTAGCTTTGAATTGCGATCCTCCTGCCTTAGTCTCCAGAGCTGCTGGGGTTACAGGCCTGAGCCACTGCACCGCACCTAGCTCCTCAAGAAATTTATAATAAAGTAAAGATGAAGAAGTTACATATTTTGTTTGAAATAGTGAAAATCTGGAACAACCTAATATATTAGTATAAGTCTGATTAGATCCATTGTGGCATTGGAAAACAGAATAACTGCTACTATATTAATAATAAGAGCAATCTATATATGGAGATTGAAAACCATATTCTTAAGTGAAAATGACAGATTGTAAGACAATGTGTAGTATGTTCTCAGTTTTAATTTTTAAAATGTTTTCCACATTACGGTACTGGGTGTGGTGATACTATTACAGGGCTGGAGCCTTCCAGGAAATAGGTAATGCAGTGGACCCCTGTTCAAACCCTGATTCTTGCGATCAAGTCAGGAAGATTTTAGACACATCACTGAGAGTGACAACATGAGTTTATTAGAAAGGATAGGAAAGGAGAAATGGGGAACTTCTTATCGGAGAAAGTGGGTCCTCTCAGAGAAGAGAGCGACAACACTTCTCCCTGCCTTCAGTTTTATTGGAGGTTTCAGGGCAGTTTCAGAGAGTCCCTCCCAGGTCCACCTCTTGACTTTTTTTTTTTTTTAAGTTGTTGATGGATTTTATTTTATTTATTGATATGCGGTGCTCAGAATCGAACCCAGTGTCTCACACATGCTAGGCAAGTGCTCTACCACTGAGCCACAACCCCAGCCCTACCTCTTGATTTTGACAGCAGGATGACATCACACTTTCAGATCCCCACTGCCATGAAACTCTAAGTCACTTTGGCTCTTGCTGACCACCTCTAATTGGAACCTGTTCTTATAGATTTTATGGTTAGGGAAATTATCTTTAGCTCCCTGATGTTTAGGATCTGGTCCGTGTAAGGGTCACAGAAATAACCCTCCTTCAGAGTAACTTGTGTTCTTCTTATCCACATTTCCAGCATGCTTTTCTCCTGTAGATAATAGGTATTTTGCTGAGGAATGTAACATATTCTGTGGACTTACGCCAGGAAGGGCTACAGGTAAATTGCTTTTTAAAAGTGAAAGTTGTGGGGGTCAGCACAGTAGGCCTATGTTATAGACTTATTCATTTGACCTCATGTTCCCACAACTCAGATCTCTCTGTGTGCTCCATCTGCACATGGTTACTCAGAAGGCTGAGTCAGGAGGATCCCAAATTCAAGGACATCCTGGGCAGTTTAGCAAGATTCTAACTCAAAAATTTTAAAAGGCTGGGGATGTAACTCAGTGGTAAAGCACTTACCTAGCATGTTTGAGGCTCTGGGTTCAATTCCCTAATACTGAGGAGGAAAAAAAAAAAAAGTTATGTAAACTGAAATCCTTAGGGTAAAGATTTAGACTTAGATTTCCTTTATGGAAGAGGCAAAGAACAGGAATCTTTTATTATTTACACTGTAATGCCTCAGCACTTTCAAACTAAAGGCTGGAGATTAAAATTGATAGACATAAACATACTTTGACTATAAGTACATTAGTATAAATGAGAAAATTACTGGAAAAGAGTACAATAAAAGATAAAGGATTATGTGTTTTTTGTTTTATAGTTTTTTTTTTAGTTATTGTAGTGATACTATTTTTATGATGAAGGGAGGAAAATTATTTTCCTCAACCTCTTAAGAAGTTCATAGTTGAAACAGACTACTCTAACAAAAGGAAGATTAATGGAGAAAACCATGCAAGTTTATTAAAATATATAGTGCGTATCACATGGGATAAAATTAGTTCACGGTAGTGTTTATGGAGTTTGGCTTAAATAGAATATCTAACAAAGAATGTTAATTTTAGAGAACTGACAAAAATAAATAAATTAAAAAGGAAAGCAGTCCCAGGCTTCCAGAAGTGGGAAACTGTGGGGAAAGACGTATATGGAAAACACAAGTGGAGTAAACTCCCCTCACATATTCCTCAGGCACTATCTTTTGAGATTCCAAGGGTTGTAAATAAAAATTTACATCCTGTCTTTAGGCAAGAAAAGTGAGGGAGGATAAACCAATGGTATTTGTAAATCTCTGACTTGCTATCAGAGAGGGAAGGCAGGGAGCTCCTCTGCATCTTAATTGTATCCACCTCAACAATCTTTTGTATTTGGAAGAGATATGGGTTTTTTTTTCCAATCTAAAAACATACTTTTTTTTACACAAAGAAGAAAACAATCAGAAAAATTACCACTAAATACTTAACCTAATCTTCAAGATAGTGTACTTCACGTTTTATTAGCATTGTTTTAGTTTTGGTGTAATTTGGAGTATCCTGTAGTACAAGGATGTATTGCAGGGGGAATGCATAATAACTTTATTTTTCAGTAAGTGGATTTAAGTCCTTGTTCTAACTTGAGGTATTTTATTTATTCCATAGCGGAGGTGAAACGTGTAGGAGATACACTTTTGGGTATGGCTACACAGTGTGTTCAAGTGAAGAATGTAATAAAAACATCTCCTCAAACTCTTTCAAATTTGTGCCTAAAGATTAATGTTAAACTCGGCGGGATAAATAATATTCTTGTACCTCATCAAAGGTAAGCTAATCACTTATAAAAATTCTCATTATTTTTCCTGTCTTTATTTTTCTATATATGGCCACATATAATTACTGTAAGCTCTGACTTAGAGATAACCTTGATGATTTCTACCATGGGATATGTAGACATTTTGGCAAAAAAATTAAAATAGTTTGAATTGGCCCACTCTGGCCCCTATTTTCATTTAGTATGCAAACTACCTCTTGCCTTGTCAGAAAATATTGAGAACTTTATTTCTCACTGGAGAGCCTAGCTTAAAAAGAGCTTTTCCTTTATTTAATAATCATCTTCATCCTGATTTCATGAGGTTAACTGTCTTGACTTATATACATACGTAAGCATTAGAACAAGTTTGGTCCATGTGTATTTGGAAAATAAAAAAAGCTCCTTTTTTCCCTGCCACCCTCTACCACCTTATCCCTATTAAATATGAAACGAGATTCATAAATAAGAGGGATGTGTTGAGTTTTTTCAACAAGTTTAATAACTAAAAAACAGTCTTTTGAATTTTAAAGGATATAATTTTAAAATAAAAGGAAAGGCTCACTACTTTGTGACTATTATATGTTACTCAAATGTATACATTTGGCCAGAGGATGGGGAGTAGTCAACTCCCATAATCTTTCCCATATAAAGTCTAATGATTCTTTTTCTCCTTGATGTATAAGTAGATTTTTTAAATTTGAGAAAAATTGGTGGATTAATATTTATAATTACTCTGATTACAGAGAACATTCGCATCAATTGCCCTTTGCAACCACCAGCACTTACTGCTTAAGACAAAAATTGTTCTCACAAAAATGCTAGGCAGCTCTGTTGTGACAGTTTCTACTTTATTGACTAGGGATTCTTGAATTAAGAGGATAAAGCACTTGGTAGTCGAGGCCTATGAAGCTGTCTATTCAGGACTTCCTCTGTGCTGACAGTGGCTTGCAGTTATGTTGCAATCATGTGAAACAGATAAATGGATGATGAATTATCTAACCCCTTTAAAAAATGTGTTTAAGACCTTCTGTGTTCCAGCAACCAGTGATCTTTTTGGGAGCAGATGTCACTCATCCACCTGCTGGTGATGGGAAAAAACCTTCTATTGCTGCTGTGAGTATCATTAGGCAGGTCTTTCCCTCCCTCCCTCACCTCCCCCTCCTCTCTCTTTGGTCCAGGATTGAATCTAAGGATACTTAACCACTGAGCAACATCCCCAACCATTTTTATTTTTTATTTTGAGTCAAGGTCTCACTAGGTTGCTTACAGCCTCATTAATTTGCTGAGGATGGCTTTAAACCTATGATACTACTTAGGCAGGTTTCTTTTATCTAAAGTTTAGACCAATATCAACATTTTAGTTTCAGCTTTTTGAGTTTTAATGATATTTTCTTTGTAGCTAACTTTCATAAATGTTCCTTCAGGTTTTTTTTTAATTTTTTTAGATGTTGATGGACCTTTACTTTATTCTTTTATTTATATGCAATTCTGAGAATTGAACCCAGTGCCTAATACATGCTAGGCAAGTGCTCTACCACTGAGCCACAACCCCAGCCCCTCCTTGACTTTTTGAGCATGGAGTTTTTGTTTGTTTGTTTTGTTTTTGTTTTGTTTTGTTTTGTTGGTGGTACTGAGGATTGAACCCAGGGCCTTTTGCATGGGAGGCAAGTTCTCTACCAGCTGAGCTATATCCCCAGCCCACTTCCTTGAGTTTTTGAAAAGAATGATTATTCTGGTTTGAAAACTACAAGTTCTATATATATATTAAGTCAAGTTTGTTAATTATGTTACTCAGCCTGGTATGGTGGCACACACCTATAATCTCAGTGGTTTGGGAGCCTGAGGCAGGAGGATTATTAGTTCCAAACCAACCTCATTACCTTAGAGAGGCCCTAAGTAACTCAACAAGACACTATCTCAAAAAATAAAAAGGGCTAAGGATGTGGCTCAGTGGTTAAGTGCCCTTGGATTCAATCCCTGGTACCCACTCAAGAAAAATTATCCTGTTTTAATTTGTCTGTGTGATCTCTCTGTGATTGTGCATTTTCAGTTACTTCTATGGTTCAAAGAGTTTGTTTATATATTTCAGTATTGTCTTTGTTAGATGAAAGATGTATTACAGGGATAAGGATGAAGGGAATGAAATGGTTTAAGTTTTATTTTTGAAGCATGAATTTGATATAGACTATCCTGGAAGAAAGAATAGGGAGGCCCAGTAACTAGCTTGAGGCTATGATCTGAATAACGTTTTAAGTTCATACTTTGATGTCTCCTTTGCTTCAAACACGTAACAATATGAAACAGGACATAGAAGGGGACAATTGAGATAGCCAGTTTGAAAACCAAGATTAACATCTCTGAAGACCTAATACACAACACAATTGCAGCCCAAGAAGACTGACTACAGATTCAGGATGTCAGATCTAGGAGTTTGCAGTAAAAGAACTCCTCATTTTTTCTAATTTGTTCTTTTTAGATATACATGATAGTAGAGTGTATTTTGACATATTATACATACATGGAGTATAACTTCCCAATCTCACGATTGTACATGATGTGGAGTTACACTGGTCTTGTATTCATATATGAACGTAGGAAATTCATGTTTGATTGATTTCTACTGTCTTTGCTTTCCCATACCCTCTCCTTTCCCTTCATTCCCTTTTGTCTTATCCAGTTAACTTCCATTCTTCCCTCCTACCCACCCCTTATTGTGTGTTAGTATCTGCATATCAGAGAGAATATCCAGCCTTTGATTTTTTGGGATTGGCTTATTTCACTTAGCATGATATATTCTTATATACTGGCAAATGCCATAACTTCATTCTTATTTATGACTGATTAATATTTCACTGTGAAAAAGAACACATCTTCTTTATTCATTTATCTATTGACGGGCATCTAGATTAGTTTCATAGCTTAGCTATTGTGATTGAGCTGCTGTGAACATTGATGTGACCACATCACTATAATATGCTAATTTTAAGTCCTTTGGGTATACACCAAGGAGTGGAATAACTGGGTCAAATGGTGGTTCCATTCCAAGTTTTTTGAGGACTCTCCTACTGCTTTCCAGAGTGGTTACACCAGTTGCAGTCCCATCAGCAATGTATGAGCATACCTTTTTCTCCACATCCTCACCAACATTTATTGTTACTTGTATTTTTTTTTTTTTTTGGTAGCAGAGATAGAACCCAGGGGAACTTAACCACTGAGCCACTGACCGGCCCTTTTTGTGTTTTATTTAGAAACAGGGTCTCGCTAAGTTGCTGAGGGCTAAGTTGTCTCGCTAAGTTGCTGGCTTTGAACTCGCAATCCTTCTGTCTCAGCTTCCTGAGCACAGTGACATATACACTCAGCTGTTACTTGTATTCTTGATGATTGCCATTCTGACTGGAGTGAGATGGAATTTCAGTGTAGTTTTAATTTGCATTTCTCTAATTGCTAGAGGTGTTGAACATTTTTTCATATATCTCTTGGCTGATATTTCTTCTTCTGTGAAGCGCCTATTCAGTTCCTTTGCCCATTTATTGATTGAGTTATTTGGGTTTTTTTTAGTGTTAAGTTTTTTTAGAAACTCATGATTTTAAAATTTGTGGATCCTAACAGTTCTAAGATAATGCTAAAATATTAAGTCTGACTTCTAGGGCTGGGGTTGTAGCTTAATGGTGGGGCGCTTGTATAAGGTGCTGGGTTTGATCCTCAGCACCACATAAAAATAAATAAAATAAAGGTATTGTGTCTATCTACAACTAAAAATATTTTTTTAAAAAAAGTCTGACTTCTAGAATGGGTTGTTAAAGTAGAAGAGATACAAAAAGAAGTCAGTGGTTTGAATTGGTCCCCCTTTTTACTTATTTTCTTTTTCTTACTCTCTTATGCATGTCTTTTTGTCCTTTTCTTTCTTGGCTAATCTTTACCAAAAACAGTTAGAATCTAATTGTTAGACCAGGCATAGTTGTGCACACCTGTCTTCCTAGTAACTTGGGAGGCTGGGGTAGGAGAATTGCAAGTTCAAGGCCAACCTCAGCAATTTAGGAAGAACCAGTTACAAAATAAAAGTCTAGTGGTGTGGCTCAATGGCACAAACCCTCTGTGTTTAATCCCCAGTACTACAAAATAAATAAACAATCTAATTGTTAAATACAAAGTGCAGCCTACTTATAGGAAAACAGGTTTTGACATTGTAGTAGGTCTTTTATTCACCAAGAATTATCTATTTGTATTATTCTTAAAGAAAATAGTGATGCATAGTAAGGTTATAGTAAAATGTAAATGAAATCCACATAGTTTTCATTATTTTAATTTCTATTTTTCTTTACTTTTTTCAACCTAGGTTGTAGGTAGTATGGATGCCCACCCAAGCAGATACTGTGCCACAGTAAGAGTTCAGAGACCCAGGCAGGAGATCATCCAGGACTTGGCATCCATGGTCCGAGAACTTCTCATTCAATTTTATAAGTCAACTCGGTTCAAACCTACTCGTATCATCTTTTATCGGGATGGTGTTTCAGAGGGACAGTTTAGACAGGTTGGTTGTCTGGGATCTCCTCAAACTATGGTGTAATCAAATGCTATACTTACCATATGGTATCTGGTTCTGAAGTTGAAATCTTTCAACTGAGAGTTCCTAAATTCAAAATTTGATTCTTCAGTAGACTTTCCTTTTTAATGTGTTCACTACGGATGTGTAATCTTTGATTATTCTGCTAATAATTAAAATGGATAATTAAAATGGAATAGGAAGTATCTTAGCTATAAGGTGATAAAATTAAGAAATCCTCAATCTAAATCTTTATTTTACTTTGAAGAATGTAAAAAAGAACAGTTGACTCTTTCCATCACATTTCTCTAGGTGTTATATTATGAGCTACTAGCAATTCGAGAAGCCTGCATCAGTTTGGAGAAAGACTATCAACCTGGAATAACCTATATCGTAGTACAGAAGAGACATCACACTCGACTATTTTGTGCTGATAGGACAGAAAGGGTAATCTTATTTAATTTTATATTTTTTAATGTGGTACTGAGGATCTAACCCAGTACCTCACACATGCTAGGCAAACGCTCTAGCACTGAGCTACAACCTCAGCCCCACAAAGGGTAATCTGTCATAATGTTGTTATAAGCCAAACTTATCTAACAGAGTTCACAAAGCACTTATTTAGGGCCTTCTGCCAGTAGTGGGGTTCAGCCATTAAATTTTGAATAAAGAAATATCAAAATAGGTTAATTATTACTTAACTTTCTAGAATTTCTAGTAACTCCAAATTTTTGAAATATCATTTTACTTTGTTGTTATGAAGAAACTTTTAGAAAAAATAGGTATATTTATTTATCTGTTAATTTTGCAGTACTAGGGATTGAACCTAGGACCTTGCATATTCTAGGTAGAGCATTCTGCCCACATCCACAGCACTCATCCCCAGCCTTTTTATTTTTGAGACAGGGTATGCTTAAATTGCACATGCTGGTATTGAACTTGAAATTCTCATGCTTCAACCTCCTGAATATCTGGGATTATAGGCATGTACCATCTTCTTTTCTTTTTCTTTTGGTGCTGGGGATCAAACCAGGGCCACTTGCATGCTAGGCAAGTGCTCTGTCATTGAGCTATACATCCCAAGCCCCCTCTTTTTAAAATAACTTGTAAAAATTAGCTTTTTTAAGAAGTAAAAATTAATATTAACTAACTTTTGAACAATGTTTCCTTTAAAGTTCACAGGATAATCTTGTGTATTTTATAAAGTGTGATATGTATTTTTATAATTAGAAGGAAAGGAAAGTGTACACACCCAGGGAAATGTGTCTTCTTATCTATATGCAATGTAGGCAAATAGCAATCTTGCTGCCCTCATCCCATCTTCTCCCATCCTCAAACATTGGAGCAAGAGAAATCTGAGGGGGCAAATATCATGTACCTTTGGAAAAGGAACTCAATAGAAAAAACTAAGAGAAGTATCTTGTCTTGTGTATGTATAACAATTGTGTATTTTGGAAAAGTGCTCAACACTTTTATGCCTATTTTCTTTCCCAAAAGGTTGAATAATATTAATTTTTATCTTTTATTGGTTGTTGAGAAGATTAAATAAAATGCACTTAGAACAGCATTTGGCATATACTGAGTACTCAGTGAAGTGTTAGCTAGCTGTACAGTGGTAGTGATGGTGGTAGTAAGAGAGAAGAAGAAATAATAATAGCTATAACAGTCATTGTTTTAAGCTTTTTCATTCATTCTGATTGGTTGATTGATTGATTATAGTGCTGGGGATCAAACCCAGGGCCTTGCACATGTTAGGCAACTATCCTACCACTGAGATATATCCCTAGCCTAAATATTTTTTATAAATTTAACTGATTTAATCCTAACAAACACTAGAAGATAATAACTATCATCCCTCATCTTGTATAAGAGAAAACTATAACACATAGAAAGAAGTTAAATAATTTCCCATAGTTATAAAGCCAGTAATTGGTAGAGGTCGCACTTAAATCAAGGCAATCTGGTTATAGAGTACTCTTTTTGTTTTGGTGGGGGGGCGGGTACCAGGGATTGAACTCAGGGGCACTCAACCACTGAACCACATCCCCAACCCTATTTTGTATTTATTTAGAGACAGGGTCTCACTGAGTTGCTTAGCGCCTCACTTTTGCTGAGGCTGGCTTTGAACTTATAATCCTCCTGCCTTAGCTGCTGGTATTACAGGTATGCACCACTGTTCTGGCTCCAGAATACTCTTAACCACTGTACTATATACCACGTCTCTAATAGCAGTAGTAATAGTTTTATTAGGGCCTCCAAATTGTTAAAGACCTTTGTTAAGTATATTTCTATACCTAGAAATTTAAATTAAATTGAATGTTTATGAATATCTGATGTTTCGTCATGCCATTCATTTATTTGCTTTTCTTTGCTCTAAATAATACTACTAGTAACAGCTGAGAGTTAATTACAGTTTAGGAAATAGGTACAGAAAAGTAAAATACCATGCCCTAGATCATCTAGAAACTGATAGAACAATGATATAAACCAGACATTCTGCTTTCTCTCTAAATAGAATACCACTTTTTATATATTATGTGTAGCTAATTTATTAGATTTAATTTTGGGTTTTGTTGTTTTTTAGGTTTGGGTTGTTATGGTTGTTTTCTTCCCAGTACTGGGGATTGAACCCAAGGGTGTTCTACCATTGAGCTACATTACCAGCCCTTTTTTATAAATGTTGAGATAGAGTCTCACTAAGTTGCTGAGGCTGGCCTTGAGCAACCATCCTCCTGCCTCAGCCTCCCAAGTAGCTGGGATTATAGGAATGTCCTATCCCAGCCAGCTAGAGTTAATTTTTTTTCAGTATTAGGCATAACTGAGTAGATTAAAACTGTTTTCTTTCTTTTATGCTTGATAAAGACTAACTGGTTGATCATACAGCAGTAATTCAAACCACCACCTGATAACAGTCCTTCACATTGCAGAAATAATATCTGAGTCAGTAGAGTAGTTTCTGATTTCCTAGCCATGTAATCCTAGACTTATAGTTCATGATTTTAAATGTGTTGAAGATAAGGAGATTTAAGTTGATATAATATGCATTTAAAATGTTTTATTAAGAGCTTTTCATTATCGGGAATTTTGAAAAATTTTAGTCACATCAAAACCACTTAGAGAAAATGATGGTATCCCTTCTGTAAGAAAATTTAGTATGTAAGAAAACTGATAGTATGAAATTTTGAAAATTGGGCCTTTGCAGTTTTTACATGTTTTAATCCCAATTCGGCTCTTTATTATATGCTCTTGGGCATTATTTTATATCCCTGAACCTTAGTTTCTCCAAATGGTAAAACACTTAACTTGCATCAGGTTTTAGAAATAATGTATTTAAAGTACCTAAAAATGGGCTGGAGATGTGGCTCAAGCGGTAACGTGCTCGCCTGGCATGCGCAGGGCGCTGGGTTCGATCCTCAGCACCACATAAAAATAAAAAAAATAAAAGATGTTGTGTTCACCGAAAACTGAAAAATAAATTTAAATAAATAAAATAAATAAAGTACCTGATAAATACATGGTTAACAATTGGTGACTATTGTTGATGTTATTGTTAGTATGTTTTCCTCTAAATATTTAGTGTTCTCCAAGGAAAATGCTTACTTAAATTACGTGCTTAAGAGTACCCATTGTAGGGGGCTGGAGATGTGGCTCAAGTGGTAGCGTGCTCGCCTAGCATGCGTGAGGCGCTAGGTTCGATTTTCAGCACCACATAAAAACAAAATAAAGATATTGTGTCCACTAAAACTAAAAAATAAATACTTTTTTTTAAAAAAGAGTACCCACTGTGTACAGGTACCATAAATTGGAGCACTAAAAGTTAACTTAAATTTTTTTTAAAATGTCTTCCATCCCTGTTGGAATCAACTCCAAGGTAAGTAGTAATAGACTATGTAACTCTCTGTTGTTTATCAGCACTTACTTTTAATAACATTTACGAATAGAAACTGAGGGGAATATAGCTTAGTGGTAGAATGTGCACCTAGCATGCACAAGGCACTGGGTTCCATCCCCAGTCCTGGAGAAAAAAACAACTAGGAACCACATATAAGGTCTGCCCTATGACTGCTTAAATAATATTTCAAGCTGAAAGTAGTGAAACATGAAATCAGCATATGTACACATATACCCATTTTTAAAGGTGCTTTTAAATACATTTTTTACCTTTGTCTTGTGTGTTTGAACTTTGACAAAAAAATCTAGGTCGGAAGAAGTGGCAATATCCCAGCTGGAACAACAGTTGATACAGACATTACACACCCGTATGAGTTTGATTTTTACCTCTGTAGCCATGCTGGAATACAGGTAAGCCTACATATACCTTGGGTAAAATGATCTAATTCAAAACTTCAATTCTTATATGTATTTCTTATTTCTTATATCTTAGCAAAAAGAGAAAGAAATACTCTGTATTTGAATTTGTTTCCACATGAAATTAGATGGAACTTTCAGTAAATAAATTTCTTCCTTTCCCTTACTTTGAGACTTACTTTTGTGAAAATACCAGAAGATAATTATTTTGATAGAGTGAACTTCCCTAAAGTAGGCTCTTAATTTAACCTAAAAACTTAAAACAAATTTTAAAGTACCTGATTGTTCCAATGACATATGCCTCTTTTTGATGATCATATTTCATAGAAAAAAATTCTCTGGTAGATATTGAGCATGTAAGAAAGTTTAATGGTAGATACTTTAAGTTTCATGTAGATCATTTTAAATCTTTTTTTCTCTTCAGAAAATCTTTTCATTAATTTGTTCACTTTTTTTAGTAGAACATAATCTTTAATTAACTGCTTCTCAAACTTAACAGCAGAGAGTAAACCCACATTACCAGGATATTTGAGCAAACATAGCCCAAAACTATTTCAGTTTCTTCCCATTTATTAAATGGAAATTTCAAGACGTGGGGCTACAATTGTAGCTCAGCGGTAGAGCACTTGCATAGCATGTGTGAGGCACTGGATTCAATCCTCAGTACCACAGAAGAATGAATGAATGAATAAATAAATAAATAAAGGTATTTGTTTTAAAATGAGAGTTTGTTGGGGAGGTGGGGCTTTGCTTTCAGATAGTAAGAATGATTTTTAAAAAAGAAACAAAGAAAAGGAGAAAGAAATTTTAAGATGTACCTTACTGTGCAGCTGCATCTCACAGCCTTGTATGTCCTATATATTAACCTATTTCAGACTCCAGGCTTTAAATTATTGTCCTACTCATTTACCTGTGTTCTTTTTTTTTTTTTTTTTTATGGTACTTGAATTAAATCCTGGGCCTCATGCATACCAGGCAAGCACTCTACCACTGAGGAATAGCCCCAGCCCTTTTTAAAATTTTATTTGGACACAGGGTCTTGCTATGTACTTAGCCCTGGAAGACTTTACACTAGTGAGCCTCCTGCTCAACTTCCGAAGTAACTGGGATTACAGATGTGTGCCACTAAGCTCAGTTTATCCATGTTCTTATATCTCCTCCTCTTTATGTAATCTTGTATACTTTCAGGCTGAGTGGTAACAGTCAATAAGCAAAAAATTAATACCTTCTAGGGATAAAACTTTTGTCTCTAGAATACATATTTTAGCCTAATGTTTGACTTTATATTAACTACTTTATTTCTTTTTTTTTTTCTTTTTTGATACTGGAGATTAAACTCAGGAGCACTCAACCACTGAGCCACATGTCCAGGCCTATTTTTGTATTTTATTTAGGCCCTTATCCTTAGCTCCCCTGCTTAGTTTCATTTCCTATTATTACTTTCATGTACAGTTTCAAAGTGATCCTAAATGCCTTCATCTTCTCCATCAGATTAATTACATCGTAGATAACAGGCTTCTTATACTAGTGATCTGTATGCATTGAAGGTGAAATCTCATCTCAGGGCAACATGAAGACTCGATTCCTGATGTATTCTTCTCTGTTCACTTCTATACCCTCAGTCTCTATCACTGTTTCCTCTTATCTTCCTTCTTTCTATTTTTTCTTCTCCTCTAACTAACTGGTTTCTTCTCTCTTTTATACACATATACACATACATAACATAATTGCAGCCATTCTGAAATGCTTCTAGCTAGTTCTCATAACCATGTCTTGCCAATGCTCTTCCCTAACTTATTCCTACTTGTGCTGTAAGACTTATCTAAATATTTCATCAACTCCTCTCAGAAGCCTTCGTGACTGCTTCTCCCAGACAGTGCCTCCTCTGCACTGTTTCAGTACCCTAGCCTCCCTCTTTGTCAGACTTATTAAATAACATTGTAACCATATTTTTGTTACCTACACCCCTGCAGTCTATAAAGTCCCAAAGGCAGAGGCTTTTCAAGCAATAGATATTTATTGCATATATCCTGAGATAGGTGTTGATACTGGGTATAATGAGTGAACAAATAAACCCAATTCCTTCCTCTTTTAGTTTAGGGGGATGTATTAATTGGTGAATCTCACAAATATGAATTTACAAATTGGAATAAATGCAAAACAGAAAAAGTGAAGAATAGGAAGAAAGATTTTAGTGGGGACGTGATTTAGTTTGAGAAATGACATAAGGTTTCCCTAGGAATGACATTTAAGGTAAAATCATGAGGAATGAATAAGAGTTACCCAAGCCAAGAACAGGAGGAAGAATTCCCATCAGAGGCACATATACAGGCCCTTTTGGTGGAACACAGTTATCTGTTGAAGGAAGCAAAAGGACACTAATACTATTGTTGCGTGTGAGTAGGTCAGAGGTAGGCTGGGCTGGACTGTATAGGCTCTGTTGGACAAAAATAAGGTGGTATGATTTAGACATGAGGTATCCCCCAAAAGCTCATGTGTGACAATTCAAGAAAGTTTAGAGGCAATATGATTGGGTTATGGGAGCCTTAATCTAATCTGTGCATTGATCCACTGATGAATTAACTGGGCAATAACTGTTGTCCCTGGTGAGCAGAGCTCTCTCTGCTTCCTGGTGGCCATGTTCTGAGCTGCTTTCCTCCACCCTGCCCTTCTGGCATGGTGTTCTGCCTCACTTTGGACCCAGAGCAATGGAGTCGGTCATCTGAGACCTCTGAAACTGTGAGCCCCAAATAAACTTCCTCCTCTACGTTGTTCTTGTCAGGTCTTTTGGTCATAGTGACAAAAAAGCAACTACAACATAAGGATTTGGATTCTATTCCCCAATTGCATTAAAAACAGAAAATTAGCATAGTTAGGTTTTTAAAATTATTGTTGTTGTTATTTTTTAATTACTCTTACTGAAGTACTAGTAGTATTGGGAACATTAGTTAGAAGTCAGTGACCATAATCCATGCAAAAGATGATGGTGTTTGGGACTAGAATGGGGATGGGAGAGAACTGAATGACTTCCATGTACTGTAGCTAGAGCTTTGCCCTTCCTTTTCCATATACCTAAAATGCTCTTCTCCCGATCTCACAAGCCCTCCTTAATCATTCAAAGCTCACTTTTATGTTTCCTCAGAGACAGTATTCCCTGATCACCTAGTCTAAAGTTCCTTCAAATAATCTTTCATACCAGCCTACATTTTATTCTCTTTATAGACCAATTTCTGATGGTTTAATTTATGATTATATGTCTCTCATCACTTTAATGTGTGTCTCATTCATTACTGTGTGCTCACTACCTGCTATAGGATGTGGCAGTGTTCAGTAAATATTGAATATATGAATATATGATATATATTATAAGCATATCATTTGAAGGAAGTAGGATTTGTTAATTTTTTTAATTTTATCCCCCCAAAAAATCTTGCATATTGTGTAACAAATGGTACTCACATATTTTTGTTGAAATGTGGTCTAGCTTTTCTCTTTTGCCCCATGGCCAACACCATTTCCATATTTTATACCTTCATCGTCTCACACCAGAACTAATACAACAGCATTCTGTCTGCTCACTGTGCTTTCAGCCTCTTCTTATTTCTAATCTTTCCTCCATATTATTGCTATTGTTATTTTAAAAAGAAAAACAAGCCCATCTCATTATACCTAAAAACTCTCCTAACTGCAGTACTTTCCCTGCCACTCATTGGTGAAATCCCAAATTTCTTAGCTTGTCATTCAGCTGGATTCTAAATTTGAAACTTCATCTTTTTTCCCTTATCCCCTGTGCTCTGCTCATACCAGTCTATTAGCTATTCTATAAATATGCCATGAAATGTTATGCCCCTTGTACTTTTTTTCCCCTCCAGTATTGGGGATTGAAGCCAGTGGTGCTCCAACACTTTTTTTTTTTTTTTATTTCGAGACAGAGTCTCACTAAATTGCTGAGACTGGCCTTGAATTCGAAATCCTACTGCCTCAGCCTCCTGAGTAGCTATGATTATAGACATGTACCACCATACCCAGCTTTTTTTAAGGCTGTTTATTCTTCGATGTCTCATCTCCCTAACTGCTTAAAAAAAGCTGGGGGTGGGGGGCGGGGAGTGTCAAATCTCACACATTCCCACCTAGTGAAGCATCCCCATGTTTACCCCTATATTTACTTTCTTTGGTATTCCTATAAAGGACTACATATGACCAGTAGTACTATAACCATTTATTAGTTGTTTATACTCTATCTCCTACTCTAATAGGTAATGTTTTCCAAAAGAAAAGAAATTGTTTACTTTGTTGACTTGTTTTTCTTTGAATACATAGTAACTGGAACACAGGAGCTCAACTAAATGGTTTGTGTGTGTGTGAATGTTAAAATGTACCTAAACTTAGCCAGGCACCAGTGGCACCTACCTGTAATCCCAGCTGCAAGGGAGGCTGAGGCCAGAGGATCATGAGTTCAAAGCCAGCCTCAGCAACTTATTAGCAAGGCACTAAGCAACTCAGTAAGACCCTGTCTCTAAATAAAATAGGAAAAAGTGCTGGGGATGTGCCTCAATGGTTGAGTGCCCATGAGTTCAATCCTCAGTAACAAAAAAAAAAAAAAAAGGACCTAAACTTAGATTTACCATTTTGGCCATTTGTAAGCCTACAGTTCTCTGGCATTATGTATATTCACATTGTTGGATAACCATCATCATCATCATTTATCTGCAGAAAGTTTTCACTTTCTCTGTCACATTATACTCACTAAATCCCTCATTTTTTCCTCCCCCTAGCTTTCAGCAAATACATTCTACTCTCTCTGTTAATTTTACTAATTTAGGTACCACATATAAATGAATCATACAATATTTCTGTTTTTATGACTGGTTTATTTCATTGAACATGTCTTCAAGTCTATTCATGTTGTATTATGTGTTGAATTTTCTTCCTTTTTCAAGTTAAATAATGTTATGTTGTATCTATGTAATACATTTTATTTACCCATTCCTCCACTGATGGACACTTGAGTAGCTTCCCCTTTTTGGTTATTGTGCATAATGTACTATGAACGTAGATATACAAACATCCATTTGAGTCCTTGCTTTCACTCCTTTTCAGTATATATCCAAAATCAACTAAAATTTTTAGTTGATTATTAAATTATAATACATTTTACTAATTAATGTGCCAATCATTATTATATAACATAGTCTCTGCTGAAGATTTATTTAAAAGGTTAGAAATCAAAATATGCCCTTGTCTTCTTCAAAGGGTACCAGCCGTCCTTCACACTACCATGTTTTATGGGATGATAACTGCTTTACTGCAGATGAACTTCAGCTGCTAACTTACCAGCTCTGCCACACTTACGTACGCTGTACACGATCTGTTTCTATACCTGCACCAGCGTATTATGCTCACCTGGTAGCATTCAGAGCCAGATATCATCTTGTGGACAAAGAACATGACAGGTAACATAAAACCATAGTAAATATACATTCTAACCCAAATCCAAATGTGGTCTGATTTACTTAGGAAATGTCTCTAAGTGCTTCCATGTATAAGTATCTCTGTTTATAATAAGGTACTGCCATTTAGAATTGAAGTTCCATAAGCCATCAGAGAAGAGTCAATGAGCCATGTGAAAAGTGATAATCCAATTGATTGCCCAAGATAAGATTTTATATTGAAATATGCTATCTACACAGTGATTTAGTTGATTTACCGTGTTAATCCATTATTATTAGTAATAATAAAAGTGATATGTATATATAAAGGTGGTAGTGAGGGGAGAATAAAAGGGAAAGAAAGTGATACACATACACAGAGAGAGAGAGAGAGGGAGAGAGAAAATGAAATGATGTCTAGGATTTGCTTCTAACTAATTCTGGGGAAATAAGAGAAGTAAAGCAAAATTATGCTTGAGCTTAATTACTGAAACTAGGTGATGGACACAGCATTTATTATTTTTTACAGATAGTCTTTAGTTTTTAGTATTTCTGAAATTTTTCTAAAAAGTAATATATCAGAATAGGTTTGTTTTTATGTTCATTGCCACTTCTCTTATAGTGCTGAAGGAAGCCACGTTTCAGGACAGAGCAATGGGCGAGATCCACAAGCTCTTGCCAAGGCTGTACAGATTCACCAAGATACCTTACGCACAATGTACTTTGCTTAAGTCCAAGGAAGAACTGAAAGATGCGTCGACACAACGTATGTTTTGAGTGAGTTGATTGAGTAGGGACACCTCCAACCATACAGAAGCCAGTGCTGTGTGGATGTCTGCTTCTTATGTTGATAGAAGGAAATTGTTTACTTCATCGAGGAACGCAGCACCATTATGCAATATGAAACCAGCCAGCTGCTTTTTGTGCGGTCTCCTGTAGGAAGTATCGCAATTGTTTTGTTTTCACTTCTTATAGTCTAACCCTTTTAATGCCTTTACCTCAAGTTGCTTGGCAGCACAACTATCTTTGCAAAAAAAAAGTAAAGAAAAAGTAAATGATGGTTTAAAAACACATACCTATACGAATAATCAAAGTGATTGTTCACAACTATGTGTGCAAAAAAATTAATGTGTGTTCATATATTCTTGTAAAAGGAGTCTGTGTATTTTAAAAATATATACATGTATACTTCATATGCATATATATCTGAATCTAGATAATAGATATATATGTGTCTGTGTATATATTTTGTAGTTCATTCCAATGGGGAGCTTTCTTTCCCTTTTATTCTCCCCTCACTACCACCTTTATTTTCCTCTCTACCTTCCTTGCCTTCGTCTACATTTTTTCATTAATGCTATCAGTGACATTCAGATGTTCATATGTATGATTTATTTGAATGTGAAGCATGGCAAACTATAGATTTCTATTTTATTTTGCACACCTTATACCTTTCTTCTATCTCATACACAGTTCTGAGTCCTCAACTCTTGATATTGCGTTTTGTATGAGCGTGTGTCTCTCCCTCCTGCTCTGAACTTATATTTGCCATTTGTGCAATGTGTACATAAGCAGTAGCAACCCAAATGATTCCTTTTCTTTAGTGAGTTTGTTGAAGCTGCTATAAATATAAAACCTTGTCAGAAGTTGTCACTTTTTCTCTCTGATATGCGTTATGTAATTCTAAAACCTTCTGTTTCTGTGAGTTACACATGAAAATCCCTTAAATCTTTTATAAATGGTAAATATTTTGAAAGATTGGAACTCTGTAGGGTTGAGGCCTCTGAAATTGTGTGTGGGGGGGGACAGAGAGAGAAAGAGAGAGAGAAGGGATTGTTGTGGAGGGGTGCATTTTGTTTTTTGCTAGTTTACTTGCTGCCTCTCATACCTTAATGTGATTTTCATATATATATATTTTTATATATATGTATGTGTGTATATATAAACATATATGTATGTGTTTTGAAGTACAGCTTCCTTTTCTTTTATATTTATTAGAATAGTGCTTTAATAATTATAGAACTGTATTGGCAACATCTTTTATAGAAATATAATCATGCTTATTTTAAGAACCGACAACATGTTTTTGCTATTTTTAGTGCAATAAGCAGTTTTAAAGGACAGTTGTGTCTGTTTGACATCTTTACAATGGATAGTAGGAAAAACAGGCACCTCCATTATTTTAAAAGGGCAAAGTAATCCAGCCTTAATTGAAGAAGGAAAGTTTCGTAATTTTCAATTTTAATGCATGTCTTTTAAAATTTATAATGAAAACGAAGGAAGTAAAATTATTTAAATGAGTCTGACCTTGAATATCAGAAATAAAGTTGAACTTTGATTTAGTGAAGAGCTTAAGATTTAAAAGATTTTTAAATTATTTGAAAATAGATCATGTTTGTTGAAGAATCATATGGGCAAAGTACCCATTTTATTTACTAAAATGAATCAGGAATATACAGAATGGTATTTTTAAAAGATTTTTCTGCTGATTTATCACTAATGTAACTTTCTTTTCAAAATTAAGGTGATGGTGACAAAGGAATTTAAGACATTGATCATTTTAAATGAGTTAAAAATGTGAGGAAAACTTTTTACGGAACTTTTGTTTTATTGATTTCACTTTAAAATACTTAAAAAGTACTATTAATCTTTCAAAACCAAGTTTATCAGTACCATTGGAGTCAGGGGAGCTTTGCACTTTGTAACTCATAAAAATTGCATTTGAGGGTTTTTTGTTTTGTTTTTTAACACTGGTTCAAAGTATAAGTATTACAGATCGTTTCCAGTGGGCATTGGTGTTAGCCTTTCAGAATTCCATCTGCACATGAAAACTAATGGATTTAGACCTTTAGTTTTTCTCACACCTGTAATCCACTATTATTGCCTATTTACTGTATTTTGAGCCTAAAATCTGAGCCCATGTCCTCCAACAGGTATGAAGTCTTTTGTCCCTTTGCCAGAAAACTAAAAAAGTACTGTATTTTGTATGATTATTATTTTGAAGTATCTGAAATGCAATTTACAACACTGTTTCAAAGCACTTTACATAAGATAATATTTGTATAGTATATACATTTTGTTTCTTCAAGCCTTCTCTCATCTTCTCCCCAAAAATTCTTTTAAAACGTGTTTGGGTTTTTTGTTTGTTTAATTTTTGTTTTGTCTTGGTTTGTTTCTTGAGACAGGGTCTCACTGTGTGGCCCAGACTGGTTTCAAACTCAGAGGCTCACGTAATCCTCCCACCTGAGCCTTCCCAGTAGCTGGGACTACAGGTATGCACCACACCTGGCTGTTTTTTTATATTGAAGTTTCATGAATATAGTCAAGAACATAGGAAAGAAAAGAAAATAGTATATCCTAAATGTAAAAACTTGGTTTATGCTTGCTTAATATAAATAAAACCATCTTCCTTTGTCTGTGGCATCTGTACATATTCATGTGAGAGACTTTAGGGAGCAACTGTGGATACCATGTCCCTGTTTACTACTTTACCTAATTTTCAGTCACTTAGGCTCACATTGGCTAAAGTGAAGCCCTTAATTTAAATCTATTTGGAAGGACTTTTTTAAGAGGAGAAATATTTTTTCTAAAATATAAAGTTTTACCTTTTGAGTGATTTCTTTTTTAGAGTGCTCTTAAATTATTCAGCATTGCTGGTTTAAGATTCTTAACTTGGAAGAATATGTCTAGTAAATTTCTATTTTGCTTACTAATAAGTTGGTATACCAAACTTAATTATAAGAAACCTGTGCTTTGAATTTTAAGATATAAGACTAAGTGGCAGTCACCTCTTGAAAATTGTTCTAGTTATTTTTGCACTCTGGATAGAATTCCTAATCTTTTCTGTTTAAAAAAAACAAACAAAAAAAAAAACATGAAACTCACAGTGACGTTTCTACCCTTGCACTTATTCTTTAACTATATGATGAATGCTAAATTTTGATCTGCTGTTTTCTGTGTTGTATCTCATGAGAGTGACTTTAAAATGTCAGTCACGGAAACTGATATAATGATTTTATGTGAAGAATTATGAGTTTGGACTGAGTGTATAGCTCAGTGGTACAGTACTTGCTAAGCATGTGCAAGGCCCTAGGCTCAATCCCAGCACCACAAACAAAAAACAGAATAATTAGAAATTTAATATATATTCTTGATGGTAAAGTTGTCTATGTAAAGTGCCCTATGTATGTTATTATATTACAGTATCACATTACTGGCATTGAGGACCACACATTTATAATACTGTAGCTGCTATATTTATTCCAGTCAACATTTACTGCACTAAACAATAAGGAGATGAGCAGGATTCAAGGCTACTATTAGACCCTTTTTGTTGTTTTTCTAAGATTTGAGGACATGAGATATCAAGGTAACACAGGGTGCTGCCATTTTAGTTTCAATTTATTATTAGAATATCCCTGTTTTAGACACATAGATTTTTACTTTTATACTTTGAAAAAGGGTACCTCAGCCTCCTCAGTACTGGTTTTTGGCACATTTTCACAGAAATACAGATGCCCTTTTTAATAGTTACCTTTTAATAAGTTTCTTAGAAAAACTATATTACAAGTTCCATGAAAATATTCTTATTTATAACCTATTAATTTATTTCTCTGCTTAGAAGAGAGTGTAGAATGGATTCTAGTGGGCATGGACTGGGTGTTTGGGAAGGCCCCTCAACAAAGATTCATCTCTATCCAGTCTTCTAGACCAATGGAAGTTTTCCAAACTAGATCCTTTGTGATCCACTGTGACCTAATGTTGACTTGTATCTTCTCTGATGGATTTCAGGATGACAGACATGACTGATTGGGAATCATGACAAGACTTATCATATGCTTAGGGAAATAAAAGCTGAGCTGCTACTTTGTAGAAAGGGCTGGTAGAGGATCCCAGCATCAGAGAAAGTGAGCAAGCACTCTGTGCCAATAGTAAATCTGAATTCCAGAATAGACATCAAGAAATGGGTGGATCTTTTCAGAGGCTCATGACTTTGTGGAGAGCAGTGATTTTTATGAAATTCAATAGCCGTTTGGACATGGCTAGAACATTTTATAGTCTTCCTATCGGAAACTTGATAATATAAGTGACAACTCTGCATAATTTTCATTGTGTCATTAAATCTGAGTTAAATGTTTACCTAAATCATCCTCTTAGATTTTCTCCTATTGAAGAAAAAAAAGACTGCCCTTAACAGTACCTTGCCACTTAAATTATATGAGCTCATCAAGCTGCAAAGAGAAATCATTAGTCCAGCATCTTTATTTCAGCTTTTTTTTTTTTTTCACGGGGGAGGGAGTACTGGGGATTAAACTCAGGGGCACTTGACCACTGAGCCACATCCCCAGCCCTATTTTGTATTTTATTTAGAGACAGGGTCTCACTGAGTTGCTTACTTAGCGCCTCACCATTGCTGAGGTTGGCTTTGAACTTTTGATCCTCCTGTCTCAGCCTCCCGAGCTGCTGGGATTACAGGGGTGCACCACCATGCTATTTCAGCTTTTTTATCCATACAGATTGTTAGTTCTTTTTGAGAATTTGTGGATATCTTAAAGCTTCAATAGTAATAGTTGGGGGACTTTATATCAAGTGAGGTCGTATCACCCTGATTTAGGGTGTGTCTTTGTTTTGCTATTTCCCTCTCATTTGATCTTATAAAGCGCCTTTGTGAGCTATAGAAATCAAAAAATAGGCCAAGCATAGATTGTAAAAATCATTACAGAATTCACATAATTTTCCAAAAAAAAATTAAAGGGGATTTTTAAAATTTCTGTTTATACTGGGAACATTCTTGTTCAGTGACAATATTAGAAATGGTACTGTGATTAATGAATGACAAGTTAAGTCCCAGAAGGGGGATAGGGCTGGGGAGAGTGAAAGAGATAGATCTCACAAAGGGAAAAATATTTTTACTTTTTTCCTACTTTTAAAAATGGTACATTTAATTTTATAATTTACAGTATTTCATTTTTAATAGTCAAGGCTTATTCTACTATTATCTGCTGCTAGCTTAAAAATTTTTCCTTTACCCATCAAAAACAGTGCTCTAAATTTTTACACTGTTGATTAAATCTCCAAGATCTTTTTGTTAACAATTTTTATTTGAATTAAAGATAGAAAAATAATAAATTTAATATGGAGGGTTGAAATTTACCCATGACAAACCCTACTGAAGTATTAGGTAACAAATATGACAAATTTAGGGTCTTCTCAAATCATCTGTCCAATCACTGGGCTCCCTTCCTTTTTGAAACCAATGTCTGAGGTAACCAAAATCTAATGTAGCTATGTTATATTCTCAGTAAAGCAAAGATATTCTTCAGTAGACTTTGAATTGAATTTTTAAATCATTTTTTAAAACAAGGCGGTTCTTAGAAAGTGCCTTTTCAGAAGATGGTGCTGTAGAATTTTATTTTTCAGTTCTCATGACACTAAAAATTTGGAAGACAAATTATTTTAGAACTTCAAGAGTATGACAGTTTCATATAAATAATGTTATTCATTGTCCTAAATCTGGTCAGGGGAACAAGGAATACTATTATGCAGTAAAATATCTAGGTAAATGCTCACCAAATTTATCGTGTAAATTTGAAAATAAAAATTTTAACAGATTAACCCTTTTAATTCTCACCTGTGTTTAAGGTAACCTATAATGCATATAAAACAGCAAATCTACTTAACTTCTTACCAAGACGATGAGTATTGTAGCAAGTATCCTAAGGAAAAGAACCCTGCCAGGAATTATATGTCATAGGCTACCTTTCCATTTTTTTCAGCATAGATTGCTGGCTGTAACCTTTTCTAATTATCATTATTAAGGAAGAATGCTTATACAGGGAGAGCTAAGTCATCATTGAGATCAGTTTAAGAAAGCAAGCAAAATGATTATGTCTCTAGGGAAATTTTCTTTTTTTTTTTTTTTTTTTTTTTTTTTACACTGAAGTAGGTGTTTGTTTTGGTTTTTGGCTTTGTTTTGGTTTGGGTTTTTTGTTTTGTTTTTGTTGTTTTTGTTTTTTGTGTGTGTGTATGTGGGGTTTTGGGGGTTTGTTGTTGTTGTTGTTGTTGGTTTGTTTGTGGTACTGGGGATTGAACTCAGGACCTTGAACATGCAGGCAAGTGCTTTGCCACTGAGCTACATCCCAGCTCTGCACTAAAAATTCTTTCTCTCCACCCCACTGCACCTAAGGTGGGGGAAACATGAAAAATGACTACAGTACATTTAAAAGGACATGATGATAAGTTATTTAAAAATAGAACATGGGACTGGGGATATAGATCAGTGGTAGAACTCATTTGTAGAATGCATATTGAGTATGCTTGAGTCCCTGGGTACATTCCCCCGGGCACTGTAAAAAGAAAAAAGGAAAAAAATACACACACACACACACACTGTATGTGTATTCACACATGTGCAAATTGGGGCTTTGGAGGAGATAAGCAAAAGAAAGGAAGATAGAAGGACCATTTATACTTACTAGAAATCTGGTAATCTAACAGAAACCAATTTTTCCCTGTATTAAGAAGCAGTAAACAGCAGTAAATGATTACTTAACAAGTTCTGGTGAATTTGGTGAGCATTCCTCCATAAAATAAGCAGACTAAAAATAAATATAAATACACACCTCAGTAACTTTATATGCTGCATCATGTAATGACAGTAAAATAACACTGACCATTTGGAGTGTATTGTGTCTTTGCAAATATACATGCACATTAAACTTTTTCATTTTTATAATGTCTTAATAGCAATTATGAGTTTATTTTTTTAAGATTAATTTTTCTATTGTGATGATTATATTTATTGGCAATTTGTGCAACCTTTACATTTTGCTTCAATGTTGGTTTAAGGTATTTTATTTTTATAGATATTTCTAGCTTTCCTCTTTCTTTGTAATATTAGCAAAAATTAAGATGGTGTGTTAATATACCAAACAAACTACTAATTTAGAGTTTGGATTTTTACCAATAAAACCATTAACATTATTTTATAACTTAGACTATTTAACGTTATTTATATAGTGGGCATTAAAGACAGTCTTTAGGTAGATTTCTATGTGTGGAGGGGAAGTGGGGCTTTTAGATCTTATTTCTTTTTTCTTAGTAGTAAACTAACACTAACATGTTGGATTTATTTACCTGTTTGCAGTTTTTGGAAAAGTTGTTGAATAATTCATTGTTTAATTTCTTTTTTTAACTTTAGGTACATTGTTCAGCATTAAGATTATGATATCATTTTTATAGGTCAGGAAAATAAATAGCAGATGATCCTGAAGTCATTAATAATTGACTTTGAAATGGGATTTTTCCCTCCATAATTATATGGAAGATTTATTACTCCTTTCTTTTCCTAGCATACTTTCTTTTCCTGCTTGGTACCGAGAATTTAACCGAGGAGTGCTTTACCACTGAACTACATCCCCAGCTTCTTTTTTTTTTTATTTTGAGATAGCCTTGATAAGTTATTAAGGGCCTTGCTATATTGCTGAGGATGGCCTAGAATTTGGAATCCCCTTGTCTGGGCCTCCCCAGTCACTAGGATTATTGGTAGGAGCCTGGCTCCTAGCATACTTGTTTTTTTGTTGTTGCGGGAGGGGATTCCGGGGATTGAACTTCGGGGCACTAGACCACTGAGCCACATCCCTAGCCCTATTTTGTATTTTTTATTAGAGACAGAGTCTCATTGAGTTGAGTAGCGCCTCGCTAAATTGCTGGGGCTGGCTTTGAACTTGCGATCCTCCTGCCTCCACTCCAGAGCCACTGGGATTACAGGCGTGCACCACTGTGCCCTGCTTCCTAGCATACTTTTAAAGTTGATTCAAACAGTTGTGGTGCCACATGCCTATAATCCCAGCAACTGGGGAGGCTGAGGTAAGAGGACACAAGTTGGAGGCAATTTAGGGAGATTCTGTCTCAAAATTTTTAAAAAGGCTGGATATGTCAGTCATCAGTCAGTGGTAAAGCACCCCTGGGTTCAATCTCCAGTCCCTCTCAAAAAAAGTTGATTCAACTCCTGAGTACCAGTTTACATAGCCAGAGAGTGTCACGGATATAACCTGATTCTGTAGAGTATTTCAGCTAATTAAAGTTTTTACTAGTAATGTATGAATGTGAATTAATCAGAAAGCAATGAAAAAATGATTATAGAATATTAATTTCAAGCATATATAGTTACTCCAGATTCCTAGTGAATAAATCAACATTATTTCTATTGGCATATAAATTTTTTTAATAAAGTGCATGAGAAGAGTATATTCCCTTAAGAAGGTAAAATATTTTCATTCTATTTTTGCACTATGAGTTTGCTTGGTAAGGAATTTTTTTTCCTGTAAGAAAAAACATGCATGAGGCCCTGGTTCCATCCCTAGCACCACCAAAAAAATTGTTTAAAAGATAACTTTTATCTCAACCTCTTAAGTTTTAAATTCCAAACTATTGGGACTCAATGTATGACACTGTGCTGTACTGTATTCTATTCTTCCACTGAGAGAGGGAGGGAAATGGGAAAGTTTCCTGGAATTATAAAGGGGAAAATTTTATTTTTATATTATATAAAATGTTACAGCTTAAGATGAGTCAGCATATCATTTCTTTTATCTTTTTCCCAGTTACATAATTTATAATATACTACTCTGAGTTATTTCCTTCACTCCCACATCAAGTACTCATTGAAGATTAGGACTCATTATAGGAATTTGTTACTAGTAAGTAAAAACTAAATATGTTTCAAGCAGACATATATTTTTCTGCAAGCATAAGTCGTTCTTTTAAGGATATTGATTGCACTTATAATTTCAATAGTTTTATTTATTACATTTCACATTGTCTTAGGTTGACAGGCGCATAATTTTGGTGGACGAATTACCTCTATTCCTGTATTTTCCCTTTTCCTTCCTCAAGTTCATGGGAACCTGGCACACAGAGCTTATTTTAACTGGTTGGCTTCATAAATCCACATACCTGGCATCAGTACTGTATAAACAGGGAAGTATTGTAAGGCTTGTTTATATTTGAATCTCGCCTCTTCAGAAAGAAGTATTTGTGCAGTAAGTAAGAGGCGATCCAAAAAAAAGAACTGCCATGAAAAGTCTCATGAGTAGAAAACAGATGGGAAAGTTGGTCATTAGAACTTTGCATTTGTTGTATTCTTTCCAGAAATTGACTGTGTGGACATCTGTAACTTTATGTTTGACATTTAAGAGGCTGCAGCAAAAACTAGAGAGGGAAATTAGTTTGATGTTTAGTGTATAAAACTTTCATCTTCACTTCATGACTTTCGATTGGAAGAACAAACAATCCCTGAATTTAGCTCTTTAATAGTCTTTTCAAACCAAAGAAGGAAAGACTCTTTCTGTAAAAATGTTGCATATGTGATTCTACCTTTCTCTATTATAAGAATCTGTGACAAAAAAATCTGTGAAGACAGGGGCCTTTGTAAAGAAACAGACTAGTGGGGTTGTGTGAGTATGTAGTGAGGAGGAATAAGGAGGTTTCTTTGCTGGAATTCTTGGACAGAAACCTTACAGTTGTTTAATATTTGCCTCACACCCACATATTAATAGAGCGACTCTTGCTATGTGGACCAATAAAAGAGACCTAAGAAGAGCGCTTCTGAACTCTACCTGTGTTAAGTGGTGTCCTAGACCCAGAGCTGCATCTGGTATGGGCAAGTTAGATAAGTCTTAGAAGGTGCTTCTGAATTATTGTGAAGGATTAAATGAAATACTTATCCTCAGGTAGAACAATGGCATCACTCTCGATGTAGTTCCCACTCTCCTTCTTTCTTTAGAAAACAGCAGTCTGGGCCTTTCCAGACAAGGAAGTCTCACCTAGATAAAAAGTGTTTCTGGCAAAGGGTCTGGGGAAATAGTGGTAGGATGTAATGAAGAAGGAATTTGGGGCCACACACAGTGGTGCACGCCTGTAATCTCAGTAGCTTGGGAGACTGAGGTAGGAGGATCACGAGTTCAAAGGCAGCCTCTGCAAAAGCAAGGCACTAAGCATCTCAGTGAGACCCTGTTTCTAAATAAAATACAAAATAGGGCTGGGGATGTGGCTCAGTGGTTGAGCATCCCTGAGTTCAATTCTTGGTACTCCAAAAAAAGAAGGAATTTTGGGGTCAACAGTCCCATCAGGCTAATGGATACAGTTTGGTCCCAGGGAGTTAACAAGAGTAAACTTTGGTTTTAGTAGCAACAAACTTGATTTCCAGTGGTAATTAATTGCAAATATCTCCCTGTTTCACAGACTGGGAATGATCTCATGTTATCGATGATGACCCTGCAAATGTGCATGTGTTCTTTTTCAAATTTAAAAACCAGAAATATAGGGGACTGGAAGTACAGCTTAATGGTAAAGCATGTGCTTATTAGCATGTCAGAGGACCTGGGTTCTATCCCAGGATCCAAAAACTAAAAAACACAAAAATACAAAACCAGGAACAGCAGGCACTAACTGTATTCCACTAGTTTATCCTGCCAAGATTCTCTAAAGTTTTCCAGGAGCTTTCTCATGTTTTAGCCCAGGCTGCAACACCTTCTTTCTCTTTAGGGGAAAAAAAAAGAAGAGAAGAAAAAGGATTTAGAGGTAGTTTATGTGGAATTCTTCTATAGGTCTTTAAAATACTCTGGGAAGGGGGATCACACGCCAGGAGTTATAATTTCATAGAATGTTTTAGCATTTTTGTTTGTTTCCCGGCACTGGGGATTGAACCCAGGAGTGCTCTACCTCTGAGCTAATTCCTAGTTCTTTGATTTTTTTATTTTGAGACAGGGTCTCACAAGGTTGCCCAGGCTGGCCTTGAACTTGGGATCCTTAGCCTCAGCCTCCTGAGTCACTGGGATTGCAGGTGTGTTGGTTTATTTAAGTACCACCATTCTTAGTTGTGATACTATCAGTGTTTTTAATGTCATTTATGAATCATAAAGTTCTTTGTCTCTCCCCTCATATACACTCACATAGACATACACAGTTAAACATAAAAGGGGCAAAATGTAAAACAAAGACATAATAAGAATCATTAACATGTAACCATAGTTAATGTAGATAAAAAGAAATTCTAACTCAGTTAAAATTTTTAAAAAAAGATTGAAAGTATTAATGCTGCAGGTATTGTCTCTAGCCATATGTTTTTTTGCTAGTTATAGTGATAATATGAGAGAATTTATCCATAATATTTTATAGCAAAGTGATAAAATTATTCTCAATTCTTTTTCAGAACTTGAGGTTGAATCCAGGGGTACTCTTATCACTGAGCTACATCCCTAGCCCTTTTTATTTTTATTTTGACACAGGGTCTTACCAAATTGTCAAAACTGGCCTTGAACCTTCCTGTCTCAGCCTCCCAAGTAGCTGGGATGTCAGGTCTATGCCACTGTGGCAGGCTAGTTTATGCTTTTAATAAATCTTTCCCCAATTCAAACTTTTAAAAGTTCATGACTTTTATTCTGATATATTACTTCTTAAATGTACATGAATTATATTGAATGAATCACTATTTAGCCTATTCATTCCTCTTAATTTGCATATTTTGACTTCAGTTGTAGAGGTACTCAACCCATTTCTTAGTCATGCCTGAGCTGTAAAGGAGAATGCCTGAAGTATTTTCAAAAGCAGAAACATTTAAAAGGTGATAGTTTTGTGCTGGGGGTATAGCTCAGTGGTAGAATTGCTTGCGTAGCACATGTGAAGCCAGGGGTTTAATCTCCGGCACCACAAAAATTAAAAAGTAAATAAAAATAGAATATCACAGTTAGGAAAAAAAGCTATGGGGATCTTATGCCTTTGCTTAGAATTTTATCATAGTTCTACCACTGATGTGCTGTGTCCTTTGGCAAGCAATTTCCTTAATCTCATGTGCCTATTTCCCCTGGTAAATGATAGTGATAATACCTGCCCTCACCTACCTCACTAAATTGTTGTGAGTATAAGATAATGTTCGTGAAAATGTTTGGGATCTCCAGAAGAATAGCTTCTCCGAAATTCATAATGATAGAATAGTGTACAAAGGTTACAAAGGGTTCCTTTCCAGTTTGCCTCTGCGAAAGTGTCTTTAACATGGATCATTTTATGAAACATATAAGAGAAACATAGGCCTTATCATAGTGTGGTGTTCCCTTATAAATGTGTCCTGTTCTGTTTCTTCTCTGCCAGATACCCAGAACACAGACTGAATTTTTCTTTGTAATCATCCTTGGCAAAAGCATAGCTTTTCAAAAACCAAACTCCTTATAGTGGTGCTATGGCAGCTGCAATTGCATTTTGAGTTAGAGATGTGGTGAGACCATCAGAGACTCAAATATTGATTTGGCCTGTTGTCTTCAGGCACTTTTGCTACACGGTGACCTCACGGGCTGTTGTAGGACCAGATGGTTATCCTTTTGTTTCTTGGCAGATTTTCAGTACCTTTCTTTGGAATAGAGGGTCTGTTTTAAGAAAGAAAGTGTGCTAACATTATTTTTTGCTTTGCAGAATTGAACTTTGCTTTACTCTAAAAATTCCAATCATCACATATCTGTGAAAGTTAAATATATATATATAGTGAACCATTTTTTCTTTCTGTTAATTTAATTCTTATCACCTATTGGTGATATCAGGTTTCTGATCCAGTTATCCATGGATCATGGGCAGGGCCTTACATTTCAACAGGTTATGCTTTTCTTTGTGGGGAGTGGGATCCTGTTTCTAGGAAATTACAAAGGGCACATCACTGCAGATGTAAGTAATTCCTTCTTGCAAGGGACAAGATTTTTTTTTTTTTTTTAAGAAAAAAGGATGCATTTTTGGTACACAGGGTAAGGACACATTTAGCATTTAGGCTTATCTCTGTAGATACAGCCTTCCCTTGCTGCAGGCAGTTGGACTTTTGTAACTCATTGCTAACAAGGTGATATCTGTGATTAGTTTTATAGGACAATGGGAGTTTCAAGTACTGGAGATGAAGAGTTGGGGAGTTTTATGCTTGAAAAATGAACAAAAGTACATCTTCTGCAGTGAGGTAGCTAATGTTGATAGATCAGGAATACTATTCAACAGCTTTTGCTGTATTGAGTAGCTTCAATGTCTCTCTTCAGTATGGATGCATAAAAATATTACTGTATGTTCTGAATAAAGATCATTTGTATGGACAGTGTATGGATGCATTTGTAGGTTGTGAAAAAGCAGTGGTGTGTGTATGTGTGTATATGTAAATATTTTGTTTAGAACACTATTACTTAAATTTATATGGAAATAATAACATGTTGTTTCTTTAGTGCTTGGGAAACTAAAAATGCAATAGGACCATTCATTGTAATCTGCTCTAGAGAGCATTTTTATTATACACCATGCACACACAAACGCACACACAAAAGCATTACCAACTGCTCTCACTTTAGATAACTGCTGCTTTTTTAAAAAACCTTAAATAATGGAGGATGATAGCATTCTTTTTAAAGAGGCTTTTCTGAAGAGTAAAATGTAAATATAGGACATGTGGGGAGGGTGGAGCCACTTGCAGATGGACAAGTAGCCTTTTAAATTTTCCTTTTTAATCATCTTGACCGTGTGTGCCTATTTGTATTGCAGATGTGAACTACTATTTCGGGGGGTCTATAATAGTATGTTTTGAAACTGAATTACTACATAAACTCAGAATAACCTCTTTCTCCATCCACCTTTTTCACACTAAATATTCTTGCCAAATATTTCTACTGATATGAAGGCAAAATGATGGGACTCTCAAGCCTCCTTCCTCATCTTCCCTACCTGTTGCAGCTCTGTCTTATACCTGGCCTAGCCTTATAATTTTCGTTGGCTTTTCATAAGTAAGAACAATTAATTATAATATTTAAAGACTGCATAATTTCAAAATGTTTGTAAGCTGCCTTTTTAGTTGTATGGTTATACAGCACCATCAGTTAAGACCAGGAAGTGAGTCTGCATCTGTAACGTGCTGTGGGTCCAGATGAGGTATGGAATGATACTAAACTTGTCTACATTTTAAGAGGAATTGGAACTTTTTAGAAGTGGATGGGAAAGCAAGTCTACAATATATATGTAATCACTGTATGATAAGGAAAACCAAATGCTGAATCCTATCACTGTGTACTTGGGGGCCAGGCTATGGATTTGGCTGTCATTTTTACCCTTGAAGATTATATGTAATTATGATAAGAAGACAAATAAAGTTTTTAAACAAAAAGTGTTTGTTTTCAGTATTTAAGATTTGGTAGTAAATTTTCTACTTTAAACTATCTTCCAAAAAAATTACTACAAAAAAAATCTTATGGGTGAGACTTGGAGGGTTGAGGAAGCTAATTTTTAAAAAGTTCAGTCACTTGTAATAATTTGTTAAATAAATAGTCGTGATTCCTTCTGAGCCAAACTGTCACTAAAATGTCCCGTGACAGAACAACTCCTCTTTTTTCTGACATTCTGCATAATGGAAGAATTCTGTGTTGTATTTGTTTTTAATCCTTGACTCATAAAAAAAATAATGATTTTAGTGTTGCTTAGCTTGAGTTTAAAGTGTAACTTCCACTAACAACTGCAATAAAAAGAAAAGCTTTGCTCCAAGCTTGGTATTGTGTGGTCATCATTACAGCTGTTCAGACCTGGGTAAGGGGAACCTGTGTGAGACAATGGAAAGAATTAGGCTTTAAAAGAGTCCTGAAGTCCTGCATTCAAACCTTGACTATATGACATTCTGGGCAAGTTTCTTGATGCTTCTAAATCTCCATTTCTTCCAGTATGAAATAATATAATAGAGATGTTGGGCATTAAATGAGATACTACGTGGAAAGTATTTAACAGTGCTGGATATATGGGTAGAGCTCAAGTTGTGAAGAGATTCCCCACCAAACTAGGATCAATTCAAGTCATGCAGGTGGTAGGAAACATGGGATCTTGGATCCTGTGGTCATGGACTGGGCCCCAGCCAGACCATCCCGAGGGACATCCAGGAGCTACAGGAAATAGGAACCTAGCAGGAAGCTGAGAAGGAGGCAACTTCCAGCCACAGCAGCTTCTGTGATGACCTCCAGTTCAGGACAGTACTCTGCAATGGGCAGGAAAGAACTCTGAGGAGATCCCAATTACACAAGTGTCCTACAACACACAGTTCCAGGTAGTGGAACTAACCACCTTGCCCATGCTTCCTGCGGCACCTAGGGGCTGCAGAATGCCAAGGGGACAGGCATTGCAGCAAGGACTACAGGCAGTCGGAGCCACAAAAGCCTCTGGGAAGGGTGTGACTGACATCCAAGAGAAGGTGAAAGGTTTGGACCCTGGTCTGCCATCTAGAGACTGACCATGGGGACCTAGAAGTGATCTCAATCAGACAACATACCGCACATCTGGCACCCCAGGAAGAATACATCAAACCAGACCTTGTCTGGCCTCCTGCTATGAGGTAGGGCAGAAGACATAAGATAGGTAGAAAAGAGACATACAAGACCAAAGAGGGGCCAAGAAAGTCCACTTTCCCATGGATTAAAAGTCCAGATTTAAGGCAACAAACAACACTTTTAAATCAATTATTATTATTGTTTGCATGCACAAATATGTAACAACAAATGCCACCATTATGTACAAAAATAATGCACCAATAAAAAAATATGAAAAGAAAAAAATCTAAACTCACCAACTCAAACTTATCAATGTTCAGATTTTACTTATATTTTTTGCAGTTTACAAAATGCTGATTTCCATTAAAATTTATAAATGTTTAAAAAAATGTTTTAAGTCAATTATTACACTTTATAAATACACCAATGTAGTACTCTGAGTACTACATTGAGTTTAAAGTGTAACTTCCACTAACAACTGCAATAAAAAGAAAAGCTTTTTCTTTTTATTTCACATAAAGCACATAAAGCAGAATACTTTAAAAACAAAGTGGACTCAGGGTGTACCTCAGTGATACAGCACTTGCCTAGCATGAGGCCATTTGATCCCCAGCATTACAAAAAAAGAAACGAGAAAAGCCAAGTGCATGGCACACACCTATAATCCCAGCAACAAGTGGGGAGGCTGAAGCAGGAGGATCACAACTTCGAGGCCAGCCTCGCCAACTCAGCCTCACCCTGTCTCAAAGTAAAAATGAAAAGTGATGGGTATATAGCTCAGTAGTAGAGTGCCCCTGGGTTCAGTCTTTAATACACACACACACACACACACACACAGAGAGAACAAAAGAAACTGTCAGGAGGTAAAATAATTTAAGAACATTGGACTGGAGATGTAGCTCAGCACATGCTTGAGGCCCAGGATTCAGTCCCCAGCATGGCAAAAAAAAATAGATAGGTGGACTGGGGTTGTAGCTCAGTGGTAGAACACTTGCCTAGCATAGGTGAGGCACTGGGTTTGATCCTCAGCACCACATTAAAAAATAATAATACTAAAGGTTAAATAATAATAATTTTTTTGTAGTTGTGTTTGGACAGAATGCTTTTATTTGTTTATTTTTATGCGTGCTGAGAATCGAACCCAGTACCTCACACATGCTAGGCAAGCACTCTGCCACTGAGCTACAACCCCAGCCCAGGTTAAATTCTTGACGAGGAAAAAGAAAATGGAAAAAGGAATCAAGGAACTGGGAGAAGCCTCACAGATTCAGAAGTGGATACACAGCACCATGTTATTTGCAAGAAAACACCAAGATTTGGGAAGCCAGCTCTCAATCTGCATGACTGTAGAATTCCAATAAGATCAGTTCTCTGCATTTTTTTATGCTCTACCACTGAGCTACATTCCCCTTTTTTTACTTTGAGACAGTGTCTTGCAGAGTTGTCAAGGCTGGCCTCAAGTTTGTGATCTTCCTGCTTCAGCCTCCCAAATCACTGGAATTATAGGCATGTGCCACCCCTCCTCGCTTCCTTCTCTTCGTGTTATAATTGGAGTTATTGGATTAAAATCAGAAGTCTCAAGTTGCAGCCTAATTCCAGTCTGCAAATAATCCTTGTCTTGTTCAAAATATTATTAGTTGCCAATATTTAAAAAAACAGAAGTTCTTATATAAAAATCCAGATTGTGTCTTCTGTTGAAAAATGAACTCTGACAACTCCACAGTGATCCATCAGTATTCCTTCACAGCTGCCATCCAGGAATCTCTGTTTGACTTGGTAGTGGCAAGGTGTGGACATGCTCCCTGCTGGGGGTTGCTACCTTCAAAGCAGTCGAGGCCAGATATGAGAAACTTGTGCCTTCCAAGCCAGGCATGGTGCACCACCTGCAGGCCCAGCTACACTGGAGGCTGAGACAGAAAGATCCCTTGAGCCCAGGAGTTCAAGACCAGCCTGAACAACCTAGTGAGATCTTCCCGCAAAACTAACAAAAACAAAGTGCTGGTAAGGATAGAACATATTGCTGTGCTCAGCCTGATACAATGTCGGGTTCTCAACTGAAACAGACATTTCACTCTAAACACTCCTCAGAACTCAACAGCTTGTAAGAGGAAAAGATGCCCAGAGCGCTACACTTAAGCATCAGAAATGAAGAGGTAATGGGCTGGAGTTGTAGCTCAGTGGTAGAGCACTTGTCTTGCAAGTATGAGGCACTGAGTTCAATCCTAGCACCACATAAAAACAAAAGGCAGTGAGTCAATCTACAACTAGGAAAAAAAAAAAAACAAGAAATGAAAAGGTAAAACTCAAGGGTGTTCTGGTTACTTGCTCGGAGACAGGATGGCAAGAGGCATATATGTTGAAGTACTTTGCATGGTTTCCTTGTTTCAGCTGTCAGATTATTTGACAAATTCCTCTTGGCTGCTGATACTTGCATATGTTGCCGATTCTTTTAGGAAATTAATTAATCTGGCAATGCCAGGAAAGGGCGTGATCAATTTTACAATGTTGGGTAAAACATCCTAGGGCCAGCGGTGTAGCTCAGTGGTAGAGTGCTTGCCTATCCTGTGCAAGACCCTGGGTTCAGTCCCCAGCCCTGCAAAACCCAAAATAAACAAATGAAAAATCCCATCATAAAAGTTGCTTCTACAGTTCTGTGGTCTGTAAAGGACTTTGCAATGACTTTACAGAATAGCACTTTTCTTGTGCTTTTCTCTATTAAAATATTTCCCTTTAGGAATGATGTTTAGGTTGAACATTTCTTTATAATTATGAACAAAACAGACATCTGTGGTTTAGGATTATGAACCCTAATGTGATGTCTGATTTTCATCTGCAACACATTTTACTTTTGTTTTTTTATTTTTTCAGTTGTAGATGGATACAATACCTTCATTTTATTTATTTATTTCTATGCAGTGCTGAGGATCAAACCCAGTGCCCCATACATGCTAGGCTGCAAGCGCTCCACCAGTGAGATACAGACTCAGTCCCATTAAGATACTTTTTATTAAACAATTTTAGAAATAGCCTAATTCAAAAGTACTTGAAATGGCTAAATGTATAATATTACTCTACTACCATATATCTTGCTAAACAGGATTTGGATATTTGCTGCAAAAAACAAAAATAAAAACAGAATATAGGAATAGTTTTGAGGGAGGATAGAATACATAAGAACAGGTAGGAAGGAGCCTAAAAGGGAAGGGAAAAAGAAACTGTAAATTTATAGTTCATTTTTACAGTACTAGGGATTAACCCAGGGCTTGTACTTGCTAGGCAGGTACCCTGCCACCAGGTTATAGCCTCAGCCCAGAAAACTCTAATTTTAAATCTAGAACTTCTATTGAACACACTCACCTTTAATCCCCAAGCCTGTTTTCCTCCAACCCTGAAGTCTTAAGGGGAAAAAAAAAAAAAAAAACCTTGAAAGTATTGAGTCTAGATGATTAATGCCTGCATACATTGCTTACAAAACGTATTTTTTTAGACTAAATAAAGCAAAGGGAAATTGTGTTGGAGACTTACATATGATATGGATCTATTTCAAACATTTAGCTAGAGATCCTGAAAAATCCAGACACCGAGATCCATCCTTTGTTCCATGATTGAGAGTTTACAAAGTTCCTTTAAAAAAAAAAAAAAAAAGCCCAGACCCCAAAATCATATATCACATGCTGCACTCCTCCCTTTGAGTATGTATCCTGCTCTATTGCTGGCCTTCCTGAATAAATCTCCTCGATTTCCTAAATAAATCTGGGTACCTCTTTTCTTGTGTGTGGGAGGGTGGTATGGGAATTGAACTCAGGGGCACTGGACCACTAAGCCACATCCTCAGTCCTATTTTATATTTTATTTAGAAACAGGGTCTCACTTAGTTGCTTATTGCCTCACTTTTGCTGAGGCTGACTTTGAACTCACTATTCTCCTGCCTCAGTCTCCCTAACGGCTGGGATTATAGGCATGTGCCACCACACCCAGCTGTGAGCCTCTTTTGATGTGTCCTGAAATTCCTTTTAGTGGTATAAGTCAAGAACCTGCCAGGATGCCAGGCATGGTGGTGCACATCTGTAATCCCAGTGGCTCAGAAGGCTGAGGCAGAAAGATTGCAAGTTTGGGGTCAGTCTGCGTAAAAAAATTAAGAACTGGGGATGTAACTCAGTGTATTTCAGAAGAAAAAAACAATCTGCCAGGGTCAAATTGAGATCCCCTTTTTTCCTTCTGAGAAAGGAATCTCTTCAGACCCCTATCTGGTGACAGATGCTGTACCAGACAGAATTTCAGTAAGCACCATCTTTCACATTGTTTTCACTTGCTGTTTGTATGTGTATGGGGTGGGGTATTGAGGATGGAACCCAGGGGTACTATACAAGGGACCTACATCCCTAGACCTTTTTAATTTTTATTTTAAAACAGAGTTTCACTAAGTTGCCCAAAATTGGCCTTGAACTTGCAATCCTCTTGCCTCAGCTTCCTGAGGAGCTGGGAGTACATGCATGTATCATGTGCCCAGTTTTATCTGTATTTTATACAAATGTAGAATTAAGATTATATAACCATCTTTATAATTTTTTCTAATTTATTTGTGCTTTTATAAAAAATTAGATTATAAAAATTTGCCATCTGTGGTATCCCTTTGAATAGTTTTAAAAAAAAAAAACATATATAGGGCTGGGGATGTGGCTCAAGCAGTAGTGAGCTCACCTGGCATGTGTGCGGCCCGGGTTTGATCCTCAGCACCACATACAAACAAAGATGTTGTATCCGCCAAAAACTAAAAAATAAATATTAAAATTCTCTCAAAAAAACATACATATTAATAGATGTTAGCTAAATCATTAATAAAAATTATTACTGGGGCTGGGGATATAGCTCAGTTGGTAGAGTGCTTACTTCACATATACAAGGCCCTGGGTTCAATCCCCACCACCACAAAAAAAAAATTATTATTACTATTGTCTCATTAGGGCCCCTTTTTTTAAATATATTTTTTAGTTGTAGGTGGACAATTCCTTTATTTTATTTTTTGTGGTGCTGAGGATCAAAACCAGTGCCTCACGTGTGCTAGGCGAGCACCCTACCACTGAGCCACAACCCCAGCCCCTCATTAAGGCCCTTTATACATTAATTTGAAAATCTGCACAAAAATATAACACTTTTAAGTGCAGCAAAGCTACTTACTTTCCATTCATTTTAACCAAGGGACTGTCCTTTCTTATGGAAGAAGGGTGGGCTTTGAAGATTAGAAGGGCAAATTGTGGGAAGAAAAAAATCATCATTTCAAGTTCCAAAACAAATTATCTGGGCTGTGTAGTTGAGGCAGCAGTTATTTCTCTCTGATTATATGCCACTCAAAACTAGTTCAACTCCCAAATCTCAACCCTCCGCAAGGTCCCAACATGAATTTATTTGGCCACAGACCAGAAAGTACAAGGCCAGCAGAAAAGTAATCTTCTTTTCATTTGTATTATCTACAACTATCAAAATGCATAGTGAGGCAGGATGCAGTGGCTGCAGCTAATACTTGTAATTCCAGCAACTTGGGAAGCTGAGGCAGGAGGATCACAAGTTTGAAGCCAGCCTCAGCAACTTAGCAAGACCCTGTCTCAAATGATAAAGAACAAAAGGATAGGGATAACAAAAAAGAACAAATACAATTTCTTTTAAAGAAATAAAAAAAGAAGGGTAGGGGACTTGCGGGGATGTAACTCAAAGGTGGAGCATCCTTGAGTCCCTCGGTACTGCAAAAAAGAAACAGTTTACATCATTTTTCTTTTTCACTTCTCAAATTTCTTGCTTCATAGTCAATGTTTCTAGGATCCTCTGTAACACTTAAGAAAGCTATCTGGGGATATAAAAGCTAGGGATATAAAGCTAGGGATAATATAGCTCAGTTGGTTGAGTGCTTGCCTCGCATGCACAAAGCAATGGGTTCAATTCCCAGTACCACAAAAAAAAAAAAAAAAGAAAGAAAGAAAAAAGAATGCTGTTTGGATGCTCAGGTTCTGCAAATCTAAAGAGTGAGAGTAGCCCACTGAGGAAGCTACAAGAAGACATAAGCCAGTCATGCATACCCTTTTCTTCTGAGATGTTCATTAACAGACCTGGCAGCTTTATCTAAAAGCACCATTCCCAGGACAAGGCACATATTGAACAGAAGAATAATATATATTTCTGCTGCACATGAAGAGGGGGTAATGCTGTTTGTTCATATAATGTGTATGTCCTGTGCAAGGTTTCCCTAGGGCATATGGTGCTCCTTCTATACTATAGGAGTCCACACAATCACAAAACAGTCTTGAAACTGCCCACAAGTTTTTGCAAAAAATAAACCCCCTACTCTGGTTCAATAAATACGTAAGTCCACCAGTGAGAGCTAAAAGCATTCCCACATGAAGAAAGGGTGTATTAATTTGACGACCTCTGGGCTACCCAGCCAGGCTTCTGCTCAGCTGATATTTCTTTCTTTCAAATGATAAATGTCATCTGGTGTAAATTTCCTGTCAGCAGTAGAAAGAGAAGAGTTTTGAGTCTGACATCACTTGGAGCTTTCATCACCCGCTCCGTAGCAAAAAAAGACCTTCCCGGTAAACGCACTAGGGCCATTGCCAGGAATTCGCAAAAATCGTCAAAAATTCTTCAGCTGCACATTTACACGCTGCAGCATGGTTTAAACTTACTGAAAGTACTAAATATCACAAGGACAAAGCAATTTCTCCGTATTTCTAACACGAAATGCTGGAACACAGTGCCTTTTTGGTTATGGTTGTGCTGTAGTGGGGCTTGAACCATGGGCTCTGCCTGGGCTAGTCAAGTGCCCTGCCACTAAGCAATATCTCCAGCCCACTTCATTTTATTTATTTCATCTGTTTCGAGACAGTCTTGCTAAATTGCTCAGGCCGACCGTTAGCTTGCATCTTGCATCCTCCTGCCTCAACTTCCAGAGTGGCTGGGATTACAGGCGTGTGCCATCACACCCCCAACGTTTATTTTTTTCTACGCACTGCATTTTTCATCTTGTCGATACGTAAGATTGATCAAAATTAAAACGTTCCGTTCCTAAATCACGCCGCTGCGCCGTCCAGCGCCCCGAGTCTCCTGCATCCGCGCCCCGACTCCCAGCCGTTCCACTCCCAGCCGGGGGCCGCCAGGAGCTCCGCGCGGTGGTTGCCTAGCAACCGGAGGCCAAACAACGGAGAAGCTCGGAGAGGGGGGATTCTGGGCGAGCAGGGAAAGGAGGTGAGAGACTAGGCGAGAGCGGGCAGCGGGGCACACACGGAGACCCAGCCACTCCCTTCTTCCCCAAAGAGCCAGGGTATTCACTGAAACCCCAAATGAGGATCCTGTGCAGGGCAGGGTTTGGCTGGGCACCAAACTCCGACCCCAGCTCCTCCCACCCGCCCCTCCTCCTCCGACCCAGGGCAGCGGCAGCGAGCGAGGCACCCCGCCGAGAGGGCTGGAGCGCCCCCCACCCCTTGACGGGTGCCAACCTCGGTGCGCCCTGAAAAACTGGGCTCCTTCTCCTAGTCCGCCCCCAACCCCACCCCGGGCCTGGCCCGCAGCCGCGGAAGAAATAAAAGAAAGCTCAGAGGGAGGGTTGCTGGAAGTAGGGGTGGAAACTGGATTAGGGGCTGTTTTCCTGCCAGCCCTCTTCCCCTTAGGCACTTGCCCCCCCACACACACACACACACCAGGGACTCCTTTATCTCCTTTTACCTGCTCAGGAATTGCAGGTCCAGGGCCTAGGGTCTGGGGGTGGAGGGGTGGAAGGAACCTATCTAATAGAAGTTGAGCTCAGCCGGGGCTGTCCCCCAGTAGGCTTCCTGTAGAAAGGGGCTCAGAAGAAAATAGGAGCATGGCCCTTGGAGCAGGCAACTGAGCCATTCCACTGACGTCTCCTGCTCCTTGCTTTCCCAACACAGGTGGTGTGTCTTGGAACAGGTCTGGGGTTTGGGACTCACCACCCCGCACCATGGCCACATTCCGTGTCAAGCCGAGTCAGCACTTCCGGCTGCCCGACTGGCAAACTAATAGCTACTTGCTGTCCACCAATGCGGAGCGGCAGCGAGATGCTTCCCATCAGATCCGTCAGGAGGCCCGGATCCTCCGCAATGAGACGAACAACCAGGTGGAAGCCCCAGCTGGGTACCCCGCCCCCAACCACTATGCCATTGAGCTACATTTGCAGACCTTTTCATTTTTTATTTTGAAACAAGTTCTCATTAAATTGCCCAGGCTGACTTTAAACTTGTGATCCTCCTGCCTCAGCCTCCCCAAGTCTCTGGGGTTACAGGCATGCACTGATATCTTCTTTATCTTGCTCTCTCTCTTCCAGACTATTTGGGATGAACATGACAACAGAACTCGACTGGCAGAGAGGATTGATACTGTCAACCGGTGGAAAGAGATGCTGGACAAGTGTCTGACTGACTTAGATGCTGAGATTGACACCCTGACACAGGCAGGGGATCAGGGCTGGATATCAGGACACTCTGCTGCAAAGATCTCCCCTCCTTCCCACTTCTGGGTCTGGAAACCCTTGATGGGTGCATGGATGGCATGGTCATCTGAGTCACTCAGAGTTCTCTGTTAAAAGTGGGGATAAGAGCTGCCTCCCAATGCATGGCTCCTCCAACCTCCTGAACCCCCTCTTTTCTAGATGAAGGAATTAGCAGAGCAAAATCTGCAGGCCAAGAACCTACCAATGGATGTGGCCATTGAATGCCTGACCCTTCGGGAGAGTCGGCGAGACATTGACTTTGTGAGGGATCCTGTGGAGACTGAGCTGCGTAAAGAGGTGGAGGTCATTGAGGCCACCAAGAAGGCATTGCAACAGAAGATCAACCAGGCCTTCGAGCAACTCTGGTGAGGCAGAGACTGTCATCTGTGTGTTCACATGCACTTGAAGGCTTCCATGAATGTGGAGCACAGGTTTGGGGGTTCACAAGTAACTGGCTCCCATTCATTCCCTTGCCCCTCCTGTGCTTGTCAACTAGTTGGTTGTGGCACTTTCCCCGCTGCCTGGATACAGTCTCAGAATACTTGTCAAGAACCTGCTCTAGACAGTCATTCTAATTCATGCAGAAGCAGGGGAGCTGAAGCCCATTTCCCAGCACCCTAAGTACCTTATTGTCATGTTCCTGGCGACAGAAACACTCAGGGTCACTCCAGGGGAACTGGGCTGCACGAAATAACCACACAAGAGTCAGAGATACCTTTTTCTTTGGGGGTCCTGTGATGGCTCCTTTGACCTTAAGGGTCCACAGAAAGAGAGAGAGCCAGCACGAGCTGACCCTTTTATTGAAGAGAAGCCATTCAAATGAGGCAAGGGGTCAAGTTTCAGGGGACTGAGTCTAGCTTCATGATGTCTGCTGTCAGCAGATTGACTGACATCTAGGAAGGCCACACCCAAAGGCAGAGCAAGAGAGGGGGACACACAAAGGGCGTTGCCAAAGAACATTCTATCCCAAACAGGGCAAGGAGGTAGTATCACAAAGGAACAGGTGAGCATAGCTCGATCTATAGGGCTGCAGGAAGGCATGCCTATGCATGAAGATACATTCTGCTACTTCAAGGATCAGGGCAGTGTCCATGCCACTAAAAAGTGACCAGGGAAGGAAAATGCTAGTCATTCAGCGTGACGGCCTCCCACACCTTATCATGTGTATGCGTGAGGCTTCGTGAGTGCAGCCACATACAATGCACCCCATGGGTATGTGTACACACTTGAGTGTCACTGTTCTGTCTGTGGGAGGCTCATCCAGCTGTGCCGGTCTTTAATCTCAGCTGCAGCACCAGCCCCACTGTCTTCTGCCATGCACAGTCATCTCAGCCTCCCCATCCTTCAGTGTCGAGGTACAATGAGAGCTGCATGTGGGGCCTCAGGGGAGGCTCCTGATGGAGTCTGCTCTGTGTCCAGCCTCCTGCAGGAAGTCCAACAGCAGCTCAACCTTGACCATCGGGGCAAAATGGAGACGCTGGAGATCGACAGAGGCTGTCTCTCTCTCAACATAAAGGCCCCAAACATCTCTCTGAAGATTAATCCTGCACGTGTCCCCAAGGGGTAAGAAGTGTGTTTCCATCAGTGCTCGGCCCCCCCTTCATAGGCTGCACACTGCAACATTATTATTTCCTGTCACCTGCAGCTCCACCACCCTCCAGCAATGGGATGACTTCAGTCAGTTCAACAAGAACCGAGCAGAGGCTGAGATGAAATCAGCCACGGAGCTGAGGGAGGCCATCGCCCTAACTATTGCGGAGGTAAGTGAGCCCCCCACCCCCACGCTGCTGCTCCAGAGCCAACAGATGGAATCAGTGTGCCTTCAGCCTGTACTTTCTGTTGCCTGTTGACCATGGCACCCCTTCCCCTCACTTAAGCAGCAAGAACTTGAGCTTCTGTGCCCTACCCTTGCATGGTATACTTCTTGTCCTGCAGACCAACAATGAACTTGAAGCCCAAAGGGTTGCAACAGAATTTGCCTTTCGGAAACGGCTGCAGGAAATAGAGAAAGTGTACAGCGAACTTAAGTGGCAAGAAAAGAACGTGAGTCTTCACTGGGGCCTGGCCTCCTACTATGGGGCAAGGAGCCAGACTCCCTGCCAGGAAACCCTGGACTGGGTGCTCCAGCATGAGTTCCACTGGTGAAGACCAGTCACTCTGTCCCCCACAGACTTTGGAGGAGATTGCTGAGCTGCAAGAGGACATCCGGCACCTGGAGGAGGATCTGCGCAGAAAGATTCTAAACCTGAAGTTGGTCCACACCCGGCTGGAGTCCAGAACCTACAGGCCCAATGTGGAACTCTGTAGGGACCAGGTTCGAGGGCATAGGCCCCCTTGCTGAGGTTTGCTCAGGATCACCCCCAGCATATATTCCTGTGGAGCAAGGGTGCTGGCCTAGGGCAGCCCTTAGGTCATAGGCTGAAGGACAGCATGGCTAACCTGGAACTCACATGATACCCCTCTGCCTCCAGGCACAGTATGGCCTCACTGATGAGATTCACCAGTTAGAGGCAACCATCCATGCCTTGAAGCAGAAGCTGGCACAAACACAGTAAGTTTGGGAAGTGGGCAAGAGGTATGGGGAGAGACTGAGAGTGCCCATGGGTGGGGACCTCTTGATACCTGCTGGTTTCCCTGGACTGTAAGCTGGTGGGTGCGGTCCTGGCCTCCCAGCCTCATGCAGGAATGGTGGGTTGTTGATACTTCCTCCCCAGGGATGCTCTGGATGCCCTGAACAAGCACCTGGCCCGGCTACAGGCTGACATTGCTTGCAAGGCTAACTCCATGCTGCTGGACACCAAGTGCCTGGACACGAGACGCAAGCTTACTGTGCCTGCTGAGAAGTTTGTGCCTGAGGTGGACACCTTTAACCGCACCACAAACCGCACCCTGAGTCCACTCAAAACCTGCCATTTGGAGCTGGCATAGTATAGACGGAGTGGGTGGTAGGAATTTGATGGGAAATGGGTTGGGGAAGAGAATGAGACCTAATAAATATGTAGGCTCTCAAGTCAGTTCATTTTCTGCTACTCCTGCATGCAGACAGAAAGTGAAAGGGTTCTTTTTTTAAAATATTTTTTTTTAGTTGTAGATGGACAAATACCTTTATTTTGTTTATTTTTATGTGGTGCTGAGGGTGGAACCCAGGGCCCCACATGTGCTAGGCAAGCGCTCTACTGCTGAGCCACAACCCCAGCGCTCCCACCCACAAAGGTTTCTTGACCCTCCTCTGTGTGGAGGAGCAAAGATGCAAACATCAGCTCCTCAAATTCCACATTCTAAATCCAACTCCTTCCTTTTCAGGGAGAATCTCTCAACACCCCCATGGGCTCTAGCAGCTGGCCCCAACCCAGTTCTGCCCTAGCTGGAACCTTGCATACCTTTTTTTTTTTTTTTAAGTTGTTGATAGATCTTTATTTTATTTATTTATTTAGGTGTAGATGGACACAATACCTTTATTTTATTTATTTTTATGTGGTGCCAGGGATTGAACCTAGTGGTTCACACATGCTAGGCAAGCGCTCTACCACTGAGCCACAACCCCGGCCCCTATTTTATTTATTTATATGCTGTGCTGACACTCAAACTCAGTGCCTCACACACGCCAGGCAAATGCCGCTGAGCGCCAGCCCCAGCCCCGCCCCGCCCCTTGCATATTAGCCTTTTGATGCCCAGGGGAGCGCCGTGCTAGGATCACACCAGGAGGGCATGGAGGACGGGGTGGGCCAAGAGCTAGGGCTGCCCGGAGAGGGCCGGAAGCAGGGGTGCCCGCCCATGCGAGGAAGAGGCCTGGAGCGACTTGATGGTCTGGCTCAGTACCTGCCCCTCGGAGACCCTGTGGTGGCCGTCCCGCCCCGCTGTGACGCCATTAACAAGTACCGAGAATATCGGGCGCCAAAGCGAAGCTGGCGGAGACGGAGACTGAGCGGTGCTGAAACTCTGACCGCTAGGTGGCGCTGTGGATGAGGGCGACACGGAGGCTCCAGTCCACCGGGGGGCGCTGTGGGCCGCGGAGATAGAAGGACGCGGCGGCGGCGGCGGCGGCACCGGAAGTAGCGACTGGCCTGCGCGCGGATGGCGGCGGCGGCAGCGGCGGCAGCAATGGCGGCGGCGGGCAGCGGCGGCGCCGGTGCTGCCCGATCCCTCTCGCGCTTCCGAGGCTGCCTGGCTGGCGCGCTGCTCGGGGACTGCGTGGGCGCCATCTACGAGGCACAGGATACAGTCAGCCTGCCGTCCGTGCTGCGTCACGTGCAGAGCCTGGAGCCGGAGCCCGGCTCGCCTGGGAGCGCGCGGACAGGTGGGCGGGGCGGGCTCTTGGGGTCTGTGCCGGCCGGCGGGGACACTCGGGAGTGGGCGGACTGCGACGCCCTGAAATGCGCTAAGACCAGACTGCTCAGGCGGTGGGCCAGACTCTATGGTTCGCAGACACCTGGAGCTCCGGTGCCCTGTCCCCGCTCCGCCTTTCTGTCCCCAGTTCCGTGGTGCGAGCCTTGCCTGGCGTCGCGCTCCTGCACCGCGCCTCGTCCGGTGCTTCCAGTCAGCGCTTTCCAGCAGTACGCCTCAGCCCCGCGCCTCTCAAGCCTCCGCCACCTAAAATCTTAGAAGAGAGCCACATTCCTCTGTGTGGCCCACTGGCCCGCCCTCGCCTGTCTGTCTAGAGTCTTGGCCTGGCTTCCTTGGGTCCGCTCACCCGTGCTTCCCCCGCGCAGGCATTTGTTGGGTGTGCTCTGCCCCTCCCTAAAAAGCTCTCTCTCCTTCCTTTCTCCCTCACCTGTGTTGTCGACCCTGGTTCCCAGCCCAGGTGTCAGGTCTGAGGTCGAGCGCAGGATGCGGTTCTTCTTGAAGAGCAGGTGGGATTAGAAGGGAAAAGAGCGGCCCTCAGAACCCTGGGGAATACCCATGTGTGACAGGCAGGTAGAGGAGAGGGCTGGGGGGAGTTAGGGAAGGAAACAGCAGGAGATTGGAGAAGCAGCAGGAGTGTGTCAGAAAACCTGAGAACAGAATTAAAAGATGAAGACACTCATCATGGTGTCCAGAGAAGTGAAGTAGGGGGAAGCCTGGACTTAAAAGTGCATTTCCTGTGGGTTAAAGAGGAAAAGGGGGCAGAAAGTAGTATGGGTAGGTGTGAAGGAGAGGAGATGAGCTGTAATTAAGGTGAAGACAAGACGGAGAAAGGGGCTTTTATTTCGTCTTCGGTTTAAAGTTAAGATGAGGAACAAGCATGTTTTTGGGTTAGAGGTGTTTTAGGACCCTTTGAATACAAGTGACAGAAAATCCAATTAAAACGATCTAAGCAAAAAGGGAGTATATTGGCTGACATAACTGAGAAGTCCAGAGAGGTAGGTCTGCCCTCAAGCAGAGCTGGATCCAGAAATTCAAACTGGCACCTCCAGGCTCAGTTCTTCTCCAACATCCAGATGAGCTTTCTTTGGGTGAGTCCACTCTCTGCAGTCTTTCCACTGGGATGGCCCCCAGCAGCTCCAGCAAGGAATTTCTCTTTGCTACAGCCCTCTGAAAGTCCCAAATTGAGTCTCACTGGCCTAGCTGCCAACCTGCACCCATCCCTAAACAAGGGATGGCATGTGCTTTTTGATTAGGCTGGAGGTGGGGTCAGCTCCTCGCCTGAGTCCCATGGCTGAGAGTGGAGAAAAGTGGTTTCCTAGGGAAGAGCAGGGTGTAGTGACCAATGAGAGAATAAATGTGGTTCCACCTCAGAGGAGAGGTTGAAGACATGAAAGAAAGGCACAAAAGAAGAGCAAGGCCCCTGAGAAAATGGACTGGGGTGGACTTCACCTTGGACTGGGAGACAGACTTCCTCAGCGGGGAGTCTAGAAAGTGCAGCTGTGGGTCAGGTAACTGCTAGCCGCTCTTCTGGTGAAGTAGGAGGTAAGGGTTACCTAAGGGGGAGAGGGTTTGGGCTTGGGATATGCTGAGGGGGTAGACTAGGAATACATGGAGTGGGAGGGGGGCTTACTGGGGAGTCCACTTCATTCTCTGTAATTGTCTCTTCTCAGGTAAGGCCAAAGCCCTGTGCCTCCCAAGCTAAGTGTGCCATGTTAGAAGTGCCAAGCAACCCTCACAGGCAGCCCACAGGAAAGCAGATGGGGCAGGATGGAGGGAGGGGAGCGGCCCCAGCTGGGAAGGACTTGACCCAAGCGCCAGGCAAGGGAGCCGTGGGATAGAAGGTATGCCAGAAGGAAGGCGTCAGGCTGGGAAGGGCTTTGGCACAAACAATAAATTGGGACTTCATCGTGATGGCAACAGAGCCATTATGAGCAGGAGAGTAGGAGGAAGGTGGTGGTCTACTTTTGGGCTGAACTCTGGCTGCAATTTAGGTTGCATTGAAAAGTGGGAGACATAGGGGAGAATTTAGGGTCTCTGTGTGCAGCCCAAGCAGATCATATCAAAAAGAACTGCAGTGATGGCAGACAGAAGGGAGCAGAAGGTTTCCTTCAGAAATCAGCAGGATGTGACTGACTTGGAATAAAGAAATGCTGAAAGTCCCAAAGTTGAAATCCTGAGCCTCCCTAGAGCCCAGGAAACTGAAGGGGAGAGGCTGATGTAAGGTTAGGGTTGATGTGCTACCTTATAGGAATAAGCAGGAGACTTTCACCCCAGAGTGTGCAGCTTGTTCTCACCCTTCACTCTCCCCACAGAAACCTTATGCTACACTGATGACACAGCCATGGCCAGGGCCCTTGTGCAGTCCCTGCTGGCCAAGGAGGCCTTTGATGAGGTGGACATGGCTCACAGGTGAGGGGGATGGTCCTGGGGTGAACAAACCACATGGGCAGAGTCACTGCGCCCCGAGAGAGCAGTGAGGTCTGTGTGTGCTTAGGACATGCACCTTCAACAGGACCTGTTTCTCAGGCCGACACAACTTCCCAAGCTGAAAATGCCCCCACTGCTAGTAAAGCCTTGTGCCTCTGTTTCCAAACCAGCCTGGACTTTTCAGAGCCCTGAGGCATCCTAGAAACCCCAGTTCTGCTTCCCTTCACCCCCACTAGGTTTGCCCAGGAGTACAAGAAAGACCCTGACAGAGGTTATGGGGCCGGAGTGATCACCGTCTTCAAGAAGCTTCTGAGCCCCAAGTGCTGCGATGTCTATGAGCCTGCCCGGGCCCAGTTCAATGGGAAAGGCTCCTACGGCAATGGAGGTGCTATGCGGGTAGCCGGCATCCCTCTGGCTTATAGCAGTGTCCAGGATGTGCAGAAGGTATTGGAGGCAGGCTGGCACCTGGGCTCCCCTTCCTCATCCGCAGCATGTGTGTGACAACAGCCCCCCTCTCCCTAGTTTGCCCGGCTCTCGGCGCAGCTGACCCACGCCTCCTCCCTGGGTTACAATGGCGCAGTCCTGCAGGCTCTGGCTGTGCACCTGGCTCTGCAGGGTGAGTCCTCCAGTGAGCACTTCCTCGAGCAGCTCCTGGGCCACATGGAGGAGCTGGAAGGGGATGCCCAAGCCATCCTGGATGCCAGGGAGTGAGTATGGGTTGGAGGCAGGGCTGAGGTGTGTCTGAGCATGCACATGGCAGGGATTGGGGAGCCTTTGGGATGGCTGCAAAGCCAAACCTGCCTTTTTTCATTTCAGACTTTAGGGAAGGGTGAGAAGAACCCCCTTTGTCTTGGCTGTTTTCAGGGCTCTCGGGATACCAGAGAACAAAATAACCCACTCACACTGGGGCCCCTCCCACTCCTTGTCAGGGACCTGTGCTGAGTGGGAGCCTGATACACCCCTGCTGGTTCTGAATCCCCTGAAACCTTTCCTTGAACCCACAGGTTGGGTATGGAGGAGCATCCATACTCCAGCCGACTGAAGAAGGTTGGAGAGCTTCTAGACCAGGATTCTGTGACCCGAGAGGAAGTGGTGTCCGAGCTAGGTGCGTGGACCCTGGTGTCAATTGGTTCCCCCACACCTGTCATTCTTTATGGCCAGTGGGGGAGGGGACGTGGAGTTGGGCTGTGTGTGCTTGGAGGGGGCTTCCTGTTATATTATAACCCTAGGCTGCTGTGACAGCCAGAGCTACTCTCGGTAGTGTCCCTAGCAAGGTTGTGAGCACAGCACTGCCTTGCTCTAGACCTACAGCACCTCCAGTGTCCTGAAGTAGATCTGTGTCCCCAGAAGTGGCAGCTAGTTGCCAGTTTTTACAGCTAATGTGATAATGGATGTTGTTTATCTAGCACTGTCACTGTGTAGTAGGCACAATGCAGAGTGCTTGATAGACAGGACCTCACTTCACTCTCCCAGTAGCCCTATGAGAGGGTGACACCTTTAGTCACTACACTGAGGGGTCAAATCCAAGAGCAGGAATCTTGGTGGTCAGGTAACTTTCCCAGTCACCAGGCAGTTCTTGGAAGGCAGGGTTTTAATCCAGGTTATCTGACCCTAGAGTCTGTGATCTTGATCACAGCCCTCCTTGGAGCTGAGGGTGTTGACTTGTGACAGATGACTAGAAGTCTGGTGGCAGGGGCAAGTCAAGTTCTGTGATCTGGCTTCCTGCAGGGAATGGCATTGCTGCCTTTGAATCTGTGCCCACTGCTATCTACTGCTTCCTTCGCTGCATGGAGCCTGACCCCGAGATCCCCTCTGCTTTCAATAACCTCCAAAGGACTCTCATCTATTCCATCTCACTTGGCGGGGACACAGACACCATTGCCACCATGGCTGGCGCCATTGCTGGTGCTTACTATGGGATGGATCAGGTGCCAGAGAGCTGGCAGCAAAGTTGTGAGGGTTATGAGGAGACCGACATCCTGGCCCAGAGTCTGCACCGAGTCTTCCAGAAGAGTCTGTAAAGGCCACAGCTGCTGGGGCTCTGCCGTGTCCAGCAGGACCAACTCTAGCTCAGATTGGAAACCAGAGGCCCTTCAGCTGGCTCTCCTGCTTCAGTCTCCCTGCAGTATGGACCGAGTGCACCTTTGGGAGAGGTCACAGGAACAAGAAGCAAGGGACAGATGCTTTCTTGGAAGTCAGGGTTCTGGCTTGCTGCAAGCCATAGGGCACCCCTGGGGTCCTCAGATATGAGGGACCAGGACAGGTTTTATTTTGGAGGGTGTTTTTGGCACTTTCTGTTTTTATCTAGAACATGGGACTTGGGGAGGTGGAAATGATTTGCAGTAGCATCATTTCTATCTGTTGGGTTTTAGCCAATTTCAGACATCCTGCCCTTGACTGGGCAGAGCCCCCCAGTAGGTCATTTGGATCAAGGGAGACACCTGCTTCCAGTTGGTCTGTGTCCTGGTGTTTGGCTGTCACGGGGCTTGTTAGCAGCTTCCAGTGGAAGTCATGCAATAAACAGTTTTTAGCAAATCCCAACAGTTTCCTGTGACTCTCTTGGTGACCTGACCTCAAGCCTTGTGCTTCTCTGTTGGCTTTACTCTTCTAAGGAATGCAACCCCAAGGCAACGAGATGCTTGCTATGTTGATAGGCATGATGCCACTTCTTGCAGCTAGCCTTACTGTTTGTTAGGAAAGGCAGAGCAGTCATAGTTTGGTGGCTTTTCCTGTTGGGATTTGCTCAGAGTAGCCCTGGCAGATGGGCCGAGTGTTTTGCCAGAGACAGTGGGCAGGAACAAGCCAGATTTTCCTGCTGTCTTGTCCCCAAACCAGACCCAGACTCAGTTGGGCCAGGAATGGGAGCAGAGGGCACCTGTCACCAGACTGCCAAGCTTTTTTGAGTGGAGGGTGCATCATCCCAGGTGACCTATGTGGACTGAGTGCTATATATCTCCTTAGTGCCTGGCCAGTGGCCTTGTCCCACCAGGAAGTTTTGCACAGCATCCATTTTAAAGAAAGGACAATGAAAAGATACTACTCCTAAAACTGTGGGGATGTTCTTTGAGCATCCTTCCAGGCTTGGTGGTGTGCCTCTCCATAGCTGGCTGAGCTCTTGGGACTGTCGTGCTGGTCTGTTTTCAGCCAAAATGGGGTTCTGTCAGGCTGGAGCATACCACAGGACTTCTCAGGGCATGGATTTTTTCAGTTCCCAGAGCCAGAAAGAGATGAACATGCTGCTGCTGAGCCTGGCAGGTTGTGAACAGGTGCTTTCTCCCCAGGACAGAACCCCAGCCCTGTCTTTGGCATTGACCTGGCACAAGCCCCACCTTCAGGAGCAAAGACTCATAATCTTTCATTCATAATTTGTATCAGATGTTGAAACTTGGCCCTTGGGATCCTGAGCCAGTTGTCATGCTCCACTGCCCCTGAGCGTTTGCAGGAATGTTCCAGTGAAGTTCAATCTGTTTCCCTGAGGTTTAGCCACTGCTCTCCTTGGGCATTTTCCTGGTGCAGAGCCTCAGCAGCATAGGATCGATCATCCAGCATTTCTGATGTGACAGAATCTCAGGTTGGGGAGCTGATGAGGAATGCATACTCCTTGAGGGCCCAGAGAAATACCTGATGCCTTCCCAGACACCTCTGCACCAATGCCAAGTTCAGCAGAGTGCTGTTTTGTACAATGGGTTTTATTGAGGTTGTGTCAATACAGTCAATACTGTTGTTTTTCTTTTCAAAAAGAAGTCCCATTTTCTTTGATTCCCCAGTGCATTTTTCCCAAATCTGTGACACAGAGCACGTGATAAGTAGAGAACTAAACTTCCTATACCAGGTTAGAAATGAAATTACTAGTTGAAAACATTTAAACCTAATCTTAAAAAAAAAATTAAGAATCAGAATATAAAAATGCACAAGGTAATGTAGTTTTCAGTTAAAACCTGACTTGTTTATCAAAGCCAGTCATTTAAGTGGACACCTGTATCTCAAATCCCATAAATATTTCAGAAATGTCAGCCACCCTTCCCTAAAGGCTTCAGGAATGAGATTTGGCAGAAGTACAACTCTTGAAACTGCTGTTTGGGTTTTTGTTTTGGTTCCCATGGAACTTGGTTCCCTGGGCTGCCAATTGAAGCTGATCAGTTTCTGCCAATCAGATCCCAACATCAAATTATAGTGGCTTTGACCCAGGAAAGGAGGTCGCACAAAGGACCCTCCCAGGTTTCCTTTGAGACTCTTCTCTTGGATGTTAGGGAGAAAGAAATCCACCATGAACCCAATCAAAAACTTTGTTCTTAAAGTCACTTGGGCAAATTTGGGTTTGCATTTCTCCCTTTGAAAGCTAAAGTGAGCAGTCAAGTAGCCTGCAGTGGGAAAGTTGTGAGCAGGTTGGAGATTTGGCCAGAAGCCTAGGGAGCCACAGCTTAGCAGTCAGCAGTCATCCTCCACCTTTGACACACACATCCTGGAGTGGTCATATCAGAATACAGCAAGATGGTTTGTCGAATGACCTAGGTTTACACTTGGTACAGGGAAAAGAATTGGCTTGGTGAGGGCTGAGAGGCCTTGGACCATGGTAAAAGTGACAATCCTTACATAAGCAAGAATGTCTACCATCCCTGCCCCAGTACTAAACTACTCAGCTTGAACTGGGGCTCAGGAGTTGGGAGGGGGAGCCTATTTCCTGCAGAGGTGCTGGGGAGAATGGCACAAACACCCAGAGCCAGCTCATTCCACAGGGACCTGTTGGCACCCTTTCTTTCAGAACCTTGGCCTCCTGGGCCCTAATCCTGCTTAGAGCAGGAAATTGAAACCGGAGGGTAGAAGGGAGGAAGCCCCACATATTAACCCCTCTGATAGGCACATAAACCCACCATGTGGTTCTCATTAAGGAAAAGCAAGTGGGAGCCTTCTTCATCTCCAAGTTTGTGTGCCTCTAGTTCAGAAGGCCAAACGAAAGGTCTTTGCCTTGGGGACACTTGGTTTGAGGGTGGCAAGGATCCCCTCACAATTTGTTACAGAAAACCAGCTCAGGTAAAAGGAGAGTAGGAGTGTTCATGTTTGCCATCAGTCCTGCCAGAGTTTGGTCTGCTGCGGCAGACCCTAGGAGCCTGTTCACTGCCCTCATGCTAACCAGGGCAGAGCCAGTGAGGGCAGCTGGGTAGATGGAGATGAGTGTAAAGAGCAGGCATCCTGCCCCAGGCCCATGCCCCCACCCCACACAGACCATCTTTCCCCATATGCAGTTGGAGCAGGGAATGTCCCTGCCATGGGCAGGCCTGATGCCACAGCATCACTCTGGGGTTGCATTCTTGGCCAAGTATCCACACTGACCTCCTTGATGGTCCCTGTCTTCTCCCTTTCTCCTAAAGGGAAACAAAAACTTCAGAAAATCCACTGTCATATGCTGGAGGTCCTTGGGGAGCTGGAAGAGCCCCCAACGAAGGACTGGAAGGGAGCCCATGCTCCATTCCTTGAGCAGGTGTCATCAGTGGCCAGCAGGAAGGGCTGGCTGTCTCCTCTGGTAGATGGCCAGGGAGTCAGCCCCTTCTCTGCTCCTTAGGGGCCCAGCAGCATGCAGAACTCATGGGGGCTGGGCTGAGTGTCCTGGGTCCACCTGCAGACCAGGCAGGACAGGAACAGGGTGACCCCAACCCTGCACAGATGGCTGGGGTAAAGACTCAGGCCAACCGCTTCCAGAAACAATATCAGCCAGCATACTGTAGGGGAAAGCAAATCAAGTCTCCTGGGCCACGGTTACCTCTGCCTCTGTTCAGCCTTTGGTTCGTTCTTTAAATGGAGGTCTTTGTAACTGAAAAGGTCACTCTACCACTAAAGAGGAGGCGGCCAGGGCAGCAGGGCCCCACTGTGGGTTATGTGGGGCAGAGCAAGAATCCTGAAAAGGACGAGTGGATGTACTCGGTGGAGTAGAGGCCATTGGCCTGGTCCGAGGGCATCTGCACCCAGACCTGGTCATTGGGCCGCAGCTGGAGCACGGCCCCGCCAGATGCCTGGTCCAAGTAGCCCTTCTTGTATTCATCATAAGTGTAGGTGGCTGGCACATTGTTCTTGTACAGGGCCACCCACACATTGGTGCCCTTGACATGCACATGGTAAGCAAAGTAGTAGACGCCGCCCACAGGACAGGTGAAGATGCCCGTGGCTGGGTTGTAGCCGCTGTGGCCATTGTAGAGAGTCCGGTCAAACTTCACAGGCATGCCCGAGGCAGGAAAGGGCGAGGTGAGCACGGCAGTGAAGGCTGGCGTGGCCTGGGCCGACAGCTCCCCCAGCCCAAACCGCGGCTTGCCGCCTTTGCCCAGCACAGCACCCTCCACACCACCATTGGGCAGGTGCAAGCCTGCGATGCCAGTCTCATCGAAGGTCCCAGGGGCACCAGGGGGCCCTGGAGGCCCTGGTGGCCCAGGAGGGCCTGTGAGTCCTGGGGAGCCAGGAACTCCAGGGGGCCCTGTGGGCCCAGCAGAGCCAGGTTCCCCTACTTTCCCCTCTCCAGGGGGCCCTGGCAGGCCTGGTTCACCCTTTAGGCCTGGCAGACCCTGGGGCCCAATAGGGCCAGCTGGGCCCTGGAGACCTGGGATTCCTGAGGGGCCCCTCAGACCAGGCTGCCCAGGGAGGCCCAAGTCACCCTTCTGCCCTAGGGCTCCTGCCACCCCTGGTCCTCCAGGGCGACCCGTGAAACCTGGCTCACCCTTGGGCCCAGTTGGTCCAGGGGGGCCGTGAGTCCCAGGAAGTCCCCTCTCACCTGGGAGCCCAGGTTTCCCAGCCAGACCACTAGGTCCTTGATCACCCCGAATGCCAGGCACCCCTGGGGGTCCTATGGGTCCTGTCTCCCCCTTAGGTCCAGGGGGCCCACGTCTACCAGGGAGCCCTGCAGACCCAGGAAGTCCAGGGGGGCCCCCAAGGCCCTGTGGTCCCTGCTCTCCTGGCTCCCCATCTTCCCCTGGCTCACCCCTGTCCCCCAAGAGTCCTGGGACCCCAGCTGGGCCCCTATCCCCCTTGGGGCCTGGCAGTCCTGGCATCCCATAGCCAGTGGGGCCTATCAGGCCGGGGGGACCCCGGGTCCCTGGTTCCCCTTTGGCCCCTGCTGGGCCTTGTGGCCCTGGCACCCCTGCTACCCCTGGCACCCCCACACCATCTATCCCAGGGGGTCCTTTTGGACCTATAGCTCCTGGCTCCCCACTAGGGCCTGGAATCCCAGGAGGCCCAGACTCACCCTTGTCTCCAGGGGCCCCAGGCAGCCCATCCAAACCAGGTTTGCCTAAGCCAGCTGGACCAGGGAGGCCAGGGGGTCCAGGGGCACCTCCCTGCCCAGGGGCTCCAGGCAGCCCTGGCTGGCCCACTCCATTATCCCCCTTGAGGCCTCGCTCTCCTGGGGGTCCAGGCTCTCCCTGGGGCCCTGGCTCCCCCTGGAATCCTGGGGGGCCTGGTACTCCCTGAGCACCTGGTTTTCCAGGGACAGTAATGCCTGAGGGACCAGGGAGGCCAGGGGGCCCTGGTGGCCCCCGGAGGCCCTGGTCCCCTCGTAT